AATTTAATTAAAATTAAAGAAAACAATATTCAACACTTAAAACTAATACAGCTATTTTATTAACAATTAACTCTTTTTTTGAAATTCTTCATCAATCTGGGCAATTTATTTACTTAATAATTGCTGTAAATGGAATTAATTTTATTCAATTAAATAAAATAATTTTATTTCAAATTCATTCAATTATTGGAATGTTTTCTGCTATGTTTCTGTTTACTTCTTTAAGTTTTGATCGTTTCCTTGGAGTGGCATTTCCAATTTAGTAACTACTTAATTATTTAAATAGCGTAAGCTCCCTTATGGAATGACACCTTTGATATAATAACAAATTTCAGGGGCCGTATTCAGAGAACAAGGTAGAAATTTTACCCGCAGCTGCGGGTTCTATTACCCGAGTAACGAACCCTTACCCTCATTTATGAATAAGGGTTCTGGGTTAGCCTACATGCAGCTGAGGGTTGGTTAACCCCTACCTCGTTCTCTGAATACGGCCCCATAGGGGTAAATAAAATTAATGTCAATCTACATATATGGGAGTTTACAGTATATTTTTTAAAAATTTTAGTTATAATTTCTAAACATTTTTAAGTAAAAACTCATAACTATCTCATTAACAAACTTAATAACTAGAAAATAGTACTTTTAAGACATTAATTTATTTAATTTCAGTTATAAAAAAATAAATCGTCGACAATATATTTATTTACATCTTTTTTCAATTTTTTTGTACAATTGTTATATAATTTTTATAATTATAAAAACTATTTATGAATTACCTAATTTGTTAGTTAATGGAAGTTTAACAGATTCTACTGAACTTATTAATGGAAATAGTTATTTTAAATTATTACCTTTTATTTTATTCCCTCCATTTATTTTTTATTTTTTAATTATTTTTATTTTAAAATTTGGGAAAGGTATTAATTTTTTAAATTTTATTTTCAAAAATAATATTTTTTTAAAAAGGATTAAATTCTGATGAAACTATGAAAAAAGTATATCGTTCAGTATTTTTAATTATTTTTGTAAATATTGGAGGATATTTATTTTGTTCTTTAATTGTCGAATATATTCTTTTACCTTTTTTGGAGCAAATCAAATAAATTTTTTATTATTTTTAATTATACCTGGATTAATAATTAATTTTGCTAGTGCTTCTAATGCTCCGATTCTTTTTATTAATAGGTTTTAGAGATGTTTAATTTATTTTTAAAAATTTAATTTTTTATTTAGTAATGACTACAAAGATGCGTATAAAAAAGAATTTAATTTTATTAAAAATATTTTATTTAAAAAAGTCGGAATTAAACAACAAACGAAAACAGCGGTTGTAATGTTAAATAAAAGCACCACAAATTTAAAATAATTTAAAAGAAGTTAAATTTAAAAAGAAGTTAAATAAAGAAAATTTGATTAAATGGATCTTTAAATTATAAAAATATTAATTAAAGAATGAAGATTATATATTTTTTGTGTGTCGAGATCTAATTTAATTTTTATTGGGCTCTTGTCCAGTTCATGCGTCCCATGAAGATTTATGAGTCCCAAGAGAATTTATGAGTCCCATAAAAATTTATGCGTCCCAAAAATAATTTATGCGTCCCATAATAATTTATGCGTCCCAAAAACAATTTACGCGTCCCATAAAAATTCATGAGTCCCAAAAATAATTTATGCGTCCCATGAAATTAATTGAAAAAATATTCAAAATTTATAAATAACATTTAACATTTATACTTACATACCGTTTTTCCTAAAATAGTACTCCCGGGAGTACTATTTTTCAACTCTCCTGCAAAGGGGAGTAGTACAATTTAAGTAGGGAGTGCTATTTCAAGGGGGAGTACTATTGGATATCAGTGATTCGACTATTGAATATCATTGATTAGGACTATTGGTACTATTGGATATTAGTATCTGGGTATTTTTGGATTAGAGGAACGATATCCCAAAATCCACTTTTGCCCCACCATTAATCGGATTATATCCTTTAATCCTCGAAATATTTTATTGAAAAATCGAAAAATCAAGTGAAACTGACAACGCTACTTATAATAAATAAAATAATTCAATGAGTCTCTTATTATTTTTTCGAATATAAGAGAAAAATATTTTAGGGGGGGGAGTACTATTTTGGGCTAGTACCAATTCAGGGGGGAGAACTATTTTTCAACCCTCCTCCAAAGGTGAGTATTATTTATAAGGGAGTACTAATTCAGGGGGGAGTATTATTTTGGGAAATACCGTATTTGATTAACAAGAACAGTATTGATTAACAAAAAAGATTTTTCAATTTATTTCATGGGACGCATAAATTTTTATGGGACGCATAAATTATTTTTGGGACGCATAAATTATTATGGGACGCATAAATTATTTTTGGGACGCATAAATTATTATGGGACGCATAAATTATTTTTGGGACGCATAAATTATTATGGGACGCATAAATTATTTTTGGGACTCATAAATTTTCATGGGACGCATAAATTTTTATGGGACTCATAAATCTTCATGGGACGCATGAATTTTCATGGGACTCATGAACTGGACAAGAGCCTTTTATTGTACTATATAATTTACAGGCTTCAGTGCCAAATCAAAATTCGAGAAATTGTGTAAATCTCACTAATTTCTCATAAAAAATATTAAAAAATACTTAAAATTAAAGAATATACTTGACACCTTTATATACATAATATTAAATTTACTGCAGCTCTTGATGAGCGAAATTAAATTTTTTGTTAGATTAATAAATAAATATTTGTTTGTTTTAAATAAGCTCTTAATGCGCGAAATGTTTATGTTAAAATATTATAATATTTTTATTTAAAAATTTGAAAGAATATAATTTTATTTATTGCAAATAATGTTACAAAATCATAATAAATTTATTTTTAATTTAAATATTTTTGAACCTTTGTTAAATATTGCTAATAAACAACATAAACATTTAAAGCATTCATTACAAGATTTTTATTTAAAATCTAAAAAGGTATATACAAATGTGCTTTTCGGTTATGCCACCTTCTCTTACTACCAGAGCTGCGTCGAAATTTCGATTTTCGACTTTCGATTTTCGATTTTCGACGTTTTTTTCTACCGATTTTCGATTTCCGAATTTCGAATTTTTTTATAAAATTTCGATTTTCGATTTCGATATTTTTGGATTTCTTTCGATTTTCGATTTCCGAATTTCGAAGATATTTTTATTTCGACGCAGCTCTGATCACGATTATAGAACTTGCTGATTAGGAAACGTGTCTTAGTCGTAAAATCATTTTTATTTGTATTATTACGAATCTGCAAAGGATACGAATCTAAAAACGTCTTCAAATATAGGCATACAAGGAATCTAACTTACATAGAGATGGCAAGTTGAATTTGGGACGAAAAATTCGTTTGGGCGACTGACAAATCATTTTAAGAGCTCATCGAACAGAGTTGAATAATATGAAATCAATTGATAAAGTATATCTTGAGTATGATTAGATAGAACTATAGTAAATTGAATATTCCAATAATTTTTAAAACTGCCAATTAACAGGTAATAACTTGAGCGTGTTTTTAGGTCCAAAACAGAGATAGGAAAAAACCTAATCTAAACAGAATTATTACACGTTGTACTAATTGAAGGAAATTGGAAATTTTTTGATCTTAACGTTTGTCAAGTTTTAAATATTTTCAATTTTATTATTTTTTAAAAATATTCCAAAATTAATAAAATATAAATTAATTTTAATTTTTAAATTTTATTTTAAATTTTTTGTTCTCATTTTCAATTTAATGTTTACAAAATAAAAAATGTTATTTTATTCTTTTCAATCTTTCACCTCTTTATTTTTTTTAATTTTTAAAGATCACAGATAAAAGTTTTTTTTTCTTTTTAATTTTAAAAATTTACTTTAAGTGGAAAATCATTTCTCTTTTCTTTTTTTTCAGAGTTTCTCGTTTACTTTAACCTTTTTTTTTAAAAATAATCTCTCTCAAGTTTTCTTAAATATTTTTTAAAATAAATTTATTTATTTTTAAAAAATATTTTTTTAGAAATTTTATTTTATTTATTTTATTTTCTCAGAAAAAAATATTTAAACTATTTTTAAATTTAATATAAATAATAAAATAATTTTGTTAAAATAAACAGTTGTTTCTCTTATATATTTAATCTCAACCCACCCCAACTGTTTCAATCACTTTTTTACCTAAATTCCTCAAAAATCTTTTTAATATAAATATATTTTATTTTTAACTTAATGTGACCATTTTCTTTTTTTCCACATTCCTCAAATATATTTTAAAACATCTGGGAATTTAAAAATTTATTGGGAATTTTTGTGGATCAAAGATAATATTTGAGAGAGAGAGTAACAAATTTTTAAGTAAAAATATTTCACAAAAAACATTTAAATCTATAAATTGATCCTTTTCTTTAAATTCCTTAATTTTTTAATTTTCCAGGCCACAGATAACTAAAAAAATCTTATCTAGAATTTAAGTAAGGATACCCAAAACTTTAATAAAAATTTAATTCCTTAAATTATTCTTTAAATGTGTAGGAAGTACTTGAATATTATTCTAATTCCTTCCTCTTTTTACTTGAAGTATTGCTAAAAATGGCAAAAAATTATTAGAATTATTTAGAATCTTTTTAGATTTATTTTTGAATTACTTTAAAAATAAAGTTTTTTTAATTTTTCTGGATAAAAGCTTGCTGATACGATATAACCAAATTTAACTATTACATATTGTCAATGCCTTAAACTATCCCACGTCTCGAATTATGAGCATCTATACATTTTTGATTTAAATTTTTATTTCCGAAAGATTATTTTAACCTGTTTTTTATCTATGTGTTCATTATTTACAAAAAATTAACTAAATGAACATTTATTTTTTTCTTTTTTAAATATTTTCCTTCCACTTGACAATTGTTAATATATAAATAATATATATTTATTTGTTCAGTAATTAACCTTTAAAAATATAATAACTAAATATTATTTCAGATTTACGATCACATGATGGCTCTTGGTACTAATCAACCACAAACAAGTTCCTCTTTAATGGCTTTTAGTGAGGAAATAATTAAACAGGTAATAATTAAAGAAATTATTCACATGTTTTTTAACATGCTTAAAAGACTAAAGATTAATATTATTTGAAGAATTCCGTGTCAGGAAAATAATTTTTCTAAAAATAATTTTAAAGTTAACACCAGAAGAGATTGATGAATTCAGAGAAGCTTTTATGATGTTTGATAAAGACGGGAATGGAACAATTTCAACAAAAGAATTGGGGGTTGCAATGCGTTCTTTAGGTCAAAATCCTACAGAACAAGAAATTCTTGAAATGATAAATGAAGTAGATATTGATGGAAATGGACAAATTGAATTTCCAGAATTTTGTGTTATGATGAAAAGAATGATGAAAGAAACGTATAAAAAATTAATTTAAAGAATAAATAAAATATTTTAATAATTTTTAGAGATTCAGAAATGATACGGGAAGCATTTCGAGTTTTTGATAAGGACGGAAACGGAGTTATAACTGCACAAGTGAGGAATATTATACTATGAAAGATTTTAATTAGGGTTGGACACGATCGGTTTTAGACTTGGAAATTTTGAGTGATTTTTTAAAATTCTCCCAAAATAAAAAACAGTTATTTAACTAAAACTAAAAACAAAACTGGGTCTTTTTTAAATTCGGATTAATCGAAAGCCCAGGGTACCGCTTAATAACTGGTTGTGTCAAACCCTAAGTTATTAGAAAATCGTTAGATTTAATCCAAAATTTAAAGTTTTGGGAGAAAATAATTTTTCTTCTATAGAAAATTTCGTGCTTTAAATAAGTTCGAAACGATTAAAAATAAATGTCCAATTTAACTTGTAATAAATTGAAGGAATATATGTAGTAGTAAGAGGAAAATTTCATAAAATACTAATTCAAAATAAAAATAATTTTAAAGGAATTTCGTTATTTTATGGTACATATGGGAATGCAATTTAGTGAACAAGAAGTTGATGAAATGATTCATGAGGTAGACGTTGATGGGGACGGAGAAATTAACTATGAAGAATTTGTTAAGGTTTTATAAAACAAAAAAAAGAATAAAGCTAATTTTGTTATTTTTAGATGATGAGTGAAAGATGAAAAGAATTAATGAAAATATAATTAATTAAAAAATCATTCCTTTTAATTTTTAATTAAATAAAATTTTAATAATTGTCCTTCCCTTTATGCTAATTATTAGCAAAATTAAATTACAATGTTTAACAAAAAACAATTTTAATTAGAAATACATATATTAAAATTATCTCGAAAAATATTTAACATTAATCATTAAACACTAATTGACCCTTCACGGAAATTTGTCTTTCCAATAAGTACATTCACAACTAGAGATTGTTTTTCTGCTCTACTTCTAGCCATTACCTGAGCCAACGCTTCGCGTACTTGCTTGACGTCCATATCACCGTCCAAAAATAATGATTGAGTGCCTAATGCTTTTGCCGCTTCTTCATAATGAGTATAAATTCGGCCTGTAAATTTAATAGGCCACGTTTTACTAAAAATTATTAAAAATAATTTTAAAAAATAACAAGTACACAGAAATTATAGCTTAAAAAATCGGAAAAAATTAAATAAAATATATTTATCAAAAAGTCAAATTAAAGCAAAATTTTTTTAAAAAAATGCAAAAAATAAATTAAACTATCCTACTGGAACACGCCCAAAACGGCACGCCCCTATAACGGCGCAAAGCCATAACTTGCTTTAGATTTCTTAATCCTAACAGATTTAGTATCAAACGATTCCACTCAACGAGCTAAAGAGATTGGTACCAAAATTGACAAGGGCCAGACATTTTCCAGCAAGTTAAAGCTTTGTGCCGTTATGGAAGCGCGCCGTTTTGGGCTGTCCCCTACACAACAATTAAGTCTATAAATAAATTAATTAAAAATTCTTTTAATAACAATATTAGCTACTGGCATATACCCATCAGCGAATGGCACATCCCTTTCTTCAGTGTATACAGAAAATTTAATTTTTGAATTGTGTTCATTGACAAGTTGGAATTTTGTAGTTTCGAATTTTTTGATGAATTTTTTGTAATTTAAAGCCTTATGAATATTTTTTGCTTTTTTACTTGAATTTAGAGGTCCAATCACGGCATAAAATTTAATTTCATTTACCATTTTTGAAATGTCTTTTGGTGTTTCGACTATTTGCTAAAATTAAAGGAAATTTTTTAAACAAAAATTTTCTAATTTTTTCCAAGGATTCTTAAATTATGGTCTCCATTGAGTCATTCAATTAAGCTCAATTCGAACGACCTAAAAGATCCGGAAATCTAAAGAAAAAGTTTCTTAGGGGACTGAATAAATTATGAGCCTTATTTTTATTATTGAAAACGATCAAGCCTGTAATTTTGACCATTTTGAGCTCATTATTATTAAAAACCCCGATAAACACTTAATTAAAGATGTGCAGACCTCAATAAAATAATTGTAAAATTCAGAGTCAAGACGTGTATAAGAAATATTTGAAAATTTATTTCCTCCTTCTGCTAAAATTTTGAATAAGCAGTACATATCTTCTACATCGAATTCCATTCCATCAATATCAACGTCAAGTTTAGAAACCAGATGATTCAAAATAAATTTTAAAGGAACACTCTCAAAAATAAATATTTTTGCCCGTTGAGAATGTATTTGTAAAGGCAGATCTGTTGTTTCATCAAACAATAATTGAATCATTTTTGGATTAAATGGAAAACTAATTTCAAAATATTCAAAAACACAATTAAAAAGTAGTTTGAATAAATAACGAGCAATTGCCATTTGTTCAACATTTTGTGGAAATTTTGGCAATTGTATACGATGTAATTCTGAATAAAAAAAATGATTAAAAATATCATGGCAAAATTATCCTTGACCCCCCGTTTTCTCTTTTATATGCACAGAATAGAGATCCGACATTTTCGTCTAACAGGAGATCCGACATTTTCGTCTATATGTCTCTCTTCCGGACGCCTGTGTTGTTGCCCACTCTCGCATTTGTAAAAGACGCAGAAAAACTGACCAGTGGTCGGCTGCGGTCAGAGAAGCGTCTCGCTGTCTTCCCTTTTCTCAAAATGTGGACATTTTTCTGCTTCTTTTACAAATGAGGGAGTGGGCAACAACACAAGCATCCTGAAGAGAGACATACATAAATATAATCCTGTTAGACGAAAAATGTCCGATCTCTAGTAAAGAATGATAACTTTCATCCTCAAATGGATAGTCTATGGTGAGTCCCAGCTTCAGTAATTGTCTTTCGTTATGGTTTGAAAATTCCCAAAAAAAATTTTTCGTTTAAATCAAAATTTTATTTTCCGAATAGAATTTATTAATATTTAACCTTCTTTCCCATTGCAATTCTGTCCCAATTCACAAATAATGGTGTCCACGTGTCTATGCTGAAATGATGTTAAGAACATTGGAATTGACTCTTCTATTCCACGTCTCCACTAAAATTTTTGAGTTTACTTGACATGCTGAAATTTAAAAAAAACCTTTTGTTCAAGATGTTCACTCAATTCAAGGTCATAAAGATTAGGCGGTGTTTCAATAAATTTATATTCATGTATTATTGTAACTAATTTAACTTTATCCAATTTTAAGTCAGAAACAGGACGCTAAAAAATGATAATTATTATTACTAAAATCAATTGGTACTATGCATTTATACCAGGGATCGCACCGACATTAAAACAAACTTACCGATTTCGGAAATTTTGTCGGTGCTTTATACATCTTCTCCTCCTCGATTATGCTTTTACAAAAAACATTACAAAATGGTCAAAGGTAAATAAAGATCGTCTTAAATTACTTAAATCTCTCTAATAAAATAGCCGGCCCTTATTTTCTCAATCATCACAATTCTATTAAAGGGGATCATTCAAATGGAGGGAGGCATTCTATTAGAGAAAATAAAGTAATTTAATCTTACCTTCATTTCCCCTTAAACATTTTTTATAATTTTTGAGTAAGGAGAAGAAAAAGATAGGTGTATAAACGTATAGTACCAAACGATTTATAAATAAATACAAATTTAAGTGTAGCAAATTTTTTCCTAGCCAATTCCTTTCCATATTTGTCAATAATATTTTTGAAATAAAGACTTGTTTCTTGGAAAGATAATAATTGGTCAAAGTCAAAAAGTTTGAACACATCCAATAAATTCTCTTGTGGAAGGCTTATTTTTACAGGCGTTTCAGTTTTGTTGTCAGCAAGCACATTGTCGTTTATAATTGGAGTCAATCGATACCACCGACAATCCTATAAAAATTTTTAACATTTAATTTAGACATAAAATTATAAAAAAAACCTTTAAATAATATTTAATTCCTTTGAAGTCAATTATTTTTTGGTACTCGCTCATTCTTACAAAATAATTTAAGTAGAATAAAGTTGGCCTGTAAATTTAAGAGAAAATGAGACGTTATACTGAAAATAATTCAAAATGGTTGTAAAAACAATTTAAATATGTATAAAGAAATTAAAACTTTAAAAAAGAAAAGAAGAAAATTTAAAAAATGTTTATTAAAAGTCAAATTGATGCAAAAAAATTTTTTTAACAAAATGAAGACTTCCCTTTATGCTAATTTTATTAGCAAAATTAAATTGAAATGTTTAACAAAATTAAATATCAATTTTAATAAAATTTAGGTACTTGTGAGTTATCCCAAACCAGTTTAAAAATAAGAATGTATTGATTCGAATGTTAATTTCTATTTGGTGACATTGGAATGAAAAATTGATCTTTTCTTTGTTGATGCCACTCATAGAATATTGCCACATGCAAAATTGAGTGAAATAAAGGGAAAGGGAAAGTCTGACCATTCTCTACAAAAATGTCTGCAGAAAAATGTCCACAAAAACTGGTTTGGGATAACTCACAGATTATAAATATATATCAAAATTATCTCAAAAATTAATCATTAAACACTAATTGACCCTTCACGGAAATTTGTCTTTCCAATAAGTACATTCACAACCAGAGATTGTTTTTCTGCCCTACTTCTAGCCATTACCTGAGCCAATGCTTCGCGTACTTGCTTGACGTCCATATCGCCATCCAAAAATAATGATTGAGTGCCTAATGCTTTTGCCGCTTCTTCATAATGAGTATACTGTTTGAAATTTAAAAAATTATTAAATAATTTTTTGTAAATTATGGGGGAAATGAAGTAAACCAAAATAATTTTTTGGATGGGTAGCCTGCTCATTTAATATTAAAAATTATTTTTACGTCCAAATCGCAGGCAACGGCTGATTTAAAGTGCGGCACTTGTTCTCTGGCAATTTGAGTCCAACAGGCATCATTTCCAATAATTCCTACAACTGGAAGTTTATGGCGGACAAAAGTATCGAATTCCATCAAAGAATAACTTAAATTTATAAATCAAAAATAAAATTTAAAAAAATACCCAGCAGATCCATCACCATAAATTATAACAACGGTTCTTTCGGGATAGACAGCTTTTGCACCAAGTGCAAATCCAGCACCCACTCCCAATGTGCCGAAAGTGCCGGGATCGAGCCTTAAAGGAAAAATGAGTTAAATATAAAAAAGGACAAAGATTAATTGATATGTAAACGTTAGATTTAAGGCTACTATACCATTGTAATGGTCCTCCTGGTCGAACAATATAAGCAGCACTAAAAGTATAAAATAACAAATTAATTTATTTGAAAAACCTTCCAACAAAATCGCCACCATCTGCAACCAAAATTGCATCTTTTGGAATTACCTAAACAATTAATTAGTTAAGCCTAATTTTTTCAAAAATTTAAAAAATGAAAAAGTAGGCAAGGAATTTCATTTCTAATATTTGTGGGTTTACTAGCACCTAGATTTTCAATTTCGATTTTAGAGGTACGACGCCAAAAATGGCAGTAGCAACATGTACGCTTAGGAATTGATCGAATAAGAGGACGTCAAAAATAATAAATGTACGAAGTACTTGTACAAGCAAAATTGAAATTCGAAGCACGGCCTTTGACGCAAAAATTCGGAATTTTCATTAACAAAAACTTTATAAAATTAAAATTTCAAACACAACCTCATCCATCGCAGTCAATAATACAAGAGGGTTCATATGCCCATCATCAGGTTTTTGTGCCAACTTTTTTGCAGTGTCTTCTTCTTTTTTAATTTCCATTTCTCTCAACATTTCAATCCATTCTCTACATTTTTCCAAACCTCCCCATTTTCGTTCCTTCATTTGCTCTTGAAGCTCTAACAAAGTAAGACCAACATCAGCTTGAATAGTTGCTGCAGAATTCCAGAAAACGCCGTGATTCTAAATTAATTAAATTTAAAATTCGATAAACTAAAATAACCTTTAACATTTGTTCCTGGCTTCTATTTATTGAAATAACTTTTGTTTCAGGTGAAAATCCCTTTCCATAGGTTAGACGAAAGTCACATACAGCTCCTTTAAAATTAAATTTTAAAAACGAAGAAACAATGGATCAAGTGAAAATTTTTTAATTATTTTTCTCACAAAATTCCACATTTCTGGGAAGGGAATTAACCCATAGAAACACCATTACAGTTACTTAAATATATTTAACGCAAAGTAACCTGCCAGAAGAATAACATCAGCCTCTTTAATTGCAATCTTTCTATTCTGACGCATTTGTAACGGTGAATTTGTCCCTAACAATCCACGACTCATTCCACCCAAATAAGTAGGAATACCCAAATTCTTAAAGATAATAAATTTAAGATTTATTTATAAAAATTAAAATAATACATTAACAATTTGAACAAGTTGTTCAGTTTTAAGTGGAGGCAAAGTAGATTGACTTCCCATTAATAAAAGTGGACGTTTTGCATTTTCAAGAATATCTGCAATTTTTGTAATATCTTCAATGTTTGGCTTCGGAATTGTGACAGGTAAAGGTCCAAAGTCTTCGTGAGACCAAGCATTGTGGAATTGACGATAAATATGTTGATAGACAGACTCGTTAAAATTTTGCTGAAAATTGTTTTTTGAGTTTTTTATAAAACAAATTCGGAATTTGATAGGTGTTTGAGTCACCAAAATTAGAAATTGTGAAAAAACACTCATTGAAAAGTAATTTAACTAATTAGGGTTAACGATTTCGAGTCGGGCCGACGGTCGAGTCATTTTTTCGGGCCTCATTTTTATCGAGTCGGGCCGTACGAGTCTTTTTTCGGGCCAAATATCTTATGTTAGGCCCGACTCGATCTTTCGGTCCGAGGCGGTCCATTTTGGCAACCTATTTTCTTAATTTAACCTTTTCTGGTGTATCAGGGTTTTTTATAAGGCTGGCATCTCTAAGAACTTCCTGATAGGATTGAAGAACGTCCAATGGGAACTCAATAAATACAGGCCCAGGAGTGCCCGATTGAGAAACAGAAATTGCCTCACGAAGTATTGGAACTTGAAAAATAAATTTTTTTCTAAATTTTATTCAAAAATTATTCAAAACCTATATCTCCAACATTTATAATTCTTGCAGTAAATTTACACATTGATTGAATTATTGGGATTTGATCAATGTCCTGTAGTGCTCCTTTGCCTTTCATTAATGAAGGAGCAGCACCAGCCAACAGAATAACAGGCGATTCAGCCAATTGGGCATTTTTTAAGGAAGTAATTGTGTTTGTAACACCTTAAAGATTTTTAAATAAAGAAAACTTTTAAAAAACCTGGCCCTGAAGTTACAGCAGCAACGCCAATATGTTGGCGAAGACGAGCAACTAAATTATTTTAAGGTTATCATTTATTCGAAAATAAAATCCCTTCCGGAAAGTTCTGGTCTATATATAGAATTTTAGGAAAATAGATGACGAAAAAACCGTAAAACTTTTTAAATTTAAAACTTTTTAGAAAATATTCCTCAAAAGAATTCATGGTAATTTGAACCTGGCAGACCCCCTTTTTTCTCCTCAAATTCTTTCCTATATTTCCTATCCAAAACAAAATTATATTTACTATCCAATACAACCCTTGATGGAAGAAAGGTAAATTGGGATGGAAGGGAAAAAGTCTGATCATTCTGTAAAAATATAGGAAGAAACTTGGGGAGGAAAAATGGGATCTGTCAGATTCAACATTACCGAATTTATTAAGAGAAAACTTAAATACCCCTGACAGAACCTTTAAAAAAATTAAACCTGCATCAGCAGCAAATACAGCATTCACTTCATGTCTCGTATCATAAATCTTTAAATGTATTTAGATCAAAGAATTTTCTTTAAAAAATTTAAACTTTAATTCCAAGCTGTTCAGAACTAACAAGTATTGGCGAAATATGCCCTCCACACAAAGTAAATATTTCTTTCACATTATGAGCCAAAAAGAAAAAAATATTAATAATTTACTAGGGTTGTACCCCGTCCCCGAAAGTCGGAGAATTTGAGAGATTTTTTTTAAATTCCCCGCCCCCCTCCTCCCGTAAAAAAAAATTTTCACCGTCCCCGTCTCCTTCCCGTGGCGCTATCTCCCCGAAAATTTTCCCCGTGGCCCCTCCCCCACCCCCACAACGTCGGGAAACAACCCTATAATTTACTAGAAAAATAAACAAAAAATTACTTTAAGGACAGAAGCAACCAATTCCCCTCCATGTTTTTTGGATTCTTTATCGATCTGAAAAATAATTTTTGAATTAAAAAAATTAAAGACAAACATTAAATTTTGTAGAAAAATATTTGGAATTTATTAAAATTAAATTTGTTTTTTTGGCACATTTATTTAATGTTTGGCGAGAAAAATTTAAAAACATTTAAGAAAATTTTGAGTTGAATTTATGGAATTTTTGATTAAAAATGAAAAAAGAACGCGTGATAAATAAGAATAAATTTTACATTAATTTTAATCAAAAAATAATTTTATTGAAACATTTTTTCTTTTAAGATTACTTTGCTTGCTATTTTACTGATAAAAAAAGAGGGACAATGGACACTTAGTCGCAGGCCACTTAGTCGCGAAGTAGCTAAAAAGTAGGGTTGGGCCCGGTCCGAAAGACCGAGTCGAATTTTGGCCCGAAAAAGACTCCGGGCCGGCCCGATAAAAATGCGGCCCGAAAAGTTTTAAGCGACCTGAAAAAAGGACCTTCGCGACTAAGTGGTCACGAATAAATGGCTCGCGCCTAAATGGGCCATACCCAAAATTTTTTTTTAAAAGATTATAATTTATTTAGAGGAGAAAAACGGGTGATTTTTTTATTATTCAATAAATTAATTTTTCTCTTCATTAAAATTAAATATTAAAAAATTATTTTTTTTCTAAATAATTTAATTTATTTTCTTCTATGTTATACTCAAAAACTACAAAATTTTTAATCAAAAAAACTTCTAAAAAATCAATTCGCCCAATTTCAAGTAATTTTGTGGAAACTGCTGGTTTTGTTCCTAAAATTGAATCTTATGAATATTCTAATAAAAAATTGTTGCTTTTGGAGAATGGAAGATATATGACGTATAATGATGTTAATAATGCTTCTGGACGTTATTCTAATATTTTAAGTAAACAATTTGGGATTCAGGTAAATTTTTTTTAAAAATTAGGAAGGGGAGGCAATTCTTTTGGCAATTGGAACCGGCTTTATTGTCCTGATTAGTAGAGGTCGAGATGAATCTGGACCAAGGCCTGGGTTTTTCCTGTACCCATGGTCCATGCTTGGCATTTTTTGACCTTCCTGGGTTTTTCCTGTCTACAGGCCCAAGATCCGGCCCAGATCAATAAATCAAACCAGAGTCCAGTAACAGCCCCAGGCTTTTCAAAAATCTCGATCTATAATGATTAGAATAAAAGTTTTGGGGAGTGAAATTTTTTAATAAACGTTTTTTTCTCATGTAGCTTTGGTGTATTAATAAAAGGCTTTCAAAAAGTTAAGTCAGGAACTTGAGTTCTCATAACAGCATTTGATAATTGGAATTAATAAGAACTATATTTTTAACAGAAAGGTGACACAGTCCTCTGTCGAACTTCAAAAACTTCTGATGCCTTAGCTCTTTATTTGGGCATACTTCGGCTTGGGGCTACTTATGTTCCATTAAATCCAACTTATACAAAAAGAGAAACTGAACATTTTGTTAATGTAAGAAGAATTTAATTTTTAATCAAAATTTTGTTTGTTAAAGGATGCTAAACCAAAACTTATCGTTACTCTCAATCAGAAGGAAGACAAAACTTTTTGTGATACTTCAACAGTTAAACACGTTTTGTGTGAACAACAATTAGCTAAGGTTTGTCAAAGTTGTTTTTGCGGTACTTGTCGGTTATACGCCCACAAACTAATTGCCATTCGAAATTGATTGGCTATAACTATGAGCTTGGTACAATTCGAATAAATCTTATATCATTCGAAAGCCCTCGATAAGCGGTACCTTTTTTCTATGGGGTAGATCAAGTCTGATCACACATTTTTCACATTTATCGTGTTATAAATTTTTAACGAGTAATCAGAGTTGATCCATTAAGCTGGAAAAAGTATTCCTCTTATCGAGGGCTTTCGAGTGTTATGATTTATTTAAATTGTTTTTTTTTTTTTGAATTTATTTGAATCAAAAAAGTTAGAGCCGATCAAATTTGGCTGGCACTCACATCAGTCTGTGGGCGTATAACCGATAAGTACCGTTTTTTCTAAACATTCCCTTATCTAAATTATTTTATAGGATTCTTCAAAATTCGAGCCTCTATTAGATGTTGAATCAGCCAATCCCGATGATGTAGCTTGTATTCTTTATACAAGCGGAACTACTGGTTTATTTTAATTAATAATATTTTAAATATTTTTTAAAGGTCGTCCAAAAGGTGCAATGGTAACACATGCGGGTCTGACAGCAAATGGACAAATATGTACTGACATTTGGAGATTTCAGTCAAACGAGTTAGTTTTTGTGAATTTATTTTTATTTTTTTAATGAGATACGATTAATCCTTTGGATAAGTCAGGGCGTAGCCAAGAGGTCGATTTCAGGGGGCTATAGCTCCAGAAGCGCTCCCTTCCTCTGACTACGCCCTTGTGGATAACTCAAACTGTTAAACGGGAAATTTTTACTCACAAACTGAAAAAAAACAAGTCTGACATGGATCCCATAAACCCTGCAATCCCTAATTTTAGACAAGAAATTTAAACCTTATTCTGCCTGACCTTGTTCTACGTCATTTTCTTTAAAATTAAAAATAAACTAAATTTATTTTTAAGCATAAACTTACATGTTCTGCCTTTCTACCATATTCACGGATTGTTTATAAGTTTTAACTGCACTTTATTCTCCAAATCGAGTTGTATATTTTTACCAAAATTTGATGCAAAGGAAACAATTAATTATTTACCCAAATCAACTGTAATGATGGGGGTACCTACATACTATGCGTAAGGATTTTAATTGGGGAAAATAAAATTGTATATAACCAGGCCCGTAGCCATGAAAAATTTTCGGCGGATCATTTTCGACGTCGCAGTCGAAAATTTTGAGAAGTTCGGAAGGCCGTAGGCCAAAAAAATTCACCTTTTCACCATCACCACCTCAAATTTTTTCCTTTTTCCCATTTCTGGCTTCGGGTCTGATACTAACATTAAGATGATGGAAAATTTTTAAATTAAATTCCAAAGTTTTTTTTCCTAATATTCTTCAATAACTTTTTTTATTTTTCAGGAGAATGGTTGAACATAAAGAATTAAACAAAGAATCTGTTAAGAATATGCGTGTTTTTATAAGTGGAAGTGCACAATTAACTCCAAATGTTTTTGAAAAATTTGAACAAATGACTGGTCATCGAATTCTTGAACGTTATGGGTAATTCTAATTTTTGGAAAATTATTTTTTAAAAATTATTAGAATGACAGAAACTTTAGTTTCAACTTCAAATCCTTATGAGCCAGTTAATCAAAGAATTGCAGGGTCTGTTGGGAAAGCAGCAAAAGGTGTTGAAGTATGCGTTTTTTTGATAGAAGATTTTTAAAATATTTATTTTTAAGGTTCGAATAAATAAAGAGGCAGTAATTGAAGTTAAAAGTCCAAGCCTTTTTAAAGGGTATTTAAATTTACCTGAAAAGACTAAACAAGAATTTACTGATGATGGATATTTTATTACTGGAGATATGGGCGAAAAGGATGATAAAGGTTTGCAATAAAATTGTTTTTCTTTGACACAGTCGGACTCGACTTACATGACAATTTAATATTAACGGCTAATATAGCTCACCATTTATTTTTTGTTTTTTAATCAATTTAATAATTTTTTTATATTTTCAGGTTATGTTTGGATAAAAGGAAGGCAAAAAGATTTAATTATAAGTGGAGGAATGAATGTTTATCCAACTGAAGTGGAAGAAATTGTTACTAGTTTATTTGGTGAAAGAATTAAAGAATGTGCTGTTATTGGTTTGGTTTTTAAATTTTAAAGTTCCTAAAATTTTTCATCTTTCACTATGCCCTATTGGAAATCTATTAATATTTTAAAATTCAAAATAGTTTGGATTTAAATTTTGACTAGGAAATTTTTGATGGGATAATAGCTTTTTATAAGTATTTTTTCGGGACATGAGCTTTAGGTTCCAGTCCCTTACAGTTGGAGTGTTTCACGGAAAGATCTTTTAATCCCTCTATATGTAAAGGTATTTAAAATTTAGCTGTTCCACATCCTGATTTTGGTGAAGCAGTCGTTGCTATATGTGAAGCATCCGATTCTTATAAAGAAAATATTTCTACAGAAAAATACAATTTAACAGCTGATGAAAAACAAATTTTAAAAGAAAAACTAGCTCCATATAAAATTCCAAAGGCTTTTTATTTTATGAATTTACCAAGAAATCATTTAGGTAAAATACATATATTTTATTTTAAATTATTTTTAATATTTTTTAAGGAAAAGTTCAGAAAAATTTGCTTAGAGAAATGCCGAAATTTAAAAATATGTTTCAAAATGCTTGAATGAAAAGAAAAATTTGCTAATTTTTAGTTATAGGAGAATGTTTTTGTTACCTAAGAAATACTATTCACTTAAAAAATTTTAAAAATCAAATTATTTAACTCTATTAAACTTAAACATATAGTTTAAATATTTTAATTAACAAATAATTTCTAACAATTCTATTCTGTTTTCAGTTCTAGAAATTTATAAAAAATATTTCTTATAATTTATTTTCAATCATTTTTTAGGTTAAAACCTACCAATTTATTTTTAATATTTTTAGACACATTTTAATTATTTTTTGCATTTTTTCAGTTAATTTTTGTTACTTAAATAAATTCCCAAAGAATGCTTTCCTTACCAACAGAGACAAAGCTTGATATTTTTAAATACTTCACCCATCAACAATTTTGTTCAATTAAACAAACAAATTTTTATTTTTATGATTTTATTACTAATTTTGAAGGAGAACTTGCTCGGGAAAAATTATATGATATCTCTATTGTAACGATTTTTAATTAATTTAAAGAAAAATTATTATTAAGGATTGTTTTCATCGATTCAAAAAACTTCCTCATAAATTAATTAAACCTGACGCTAAGGATTCTGACTTTCTTTTGAGTGAACAAATTGAAGAGAAGGTTAATTTAAATTAAAATATTTAAAGATTTCCTTTATTTTTAGTTGAAAAATGGACTAGAAACCCCAATTCCTTTGTATTTATATGAGCAAGATTTCCCCGAAAATATTGTTATCTGTTTAACCGAAGGTTAAATTTTGTTTAATAAATTTATTCAAGTCCTCAATCACCAGTAGTTTAATTTTTATGGAAACTCAATTGTGGGCAGAAAGTAATGCGGATTGTTTTGTCCACAATTTCTAATTAATAATTTTCTTTAGCCTTTTCATAGAAAAATAGAATTTTTGAATGTTGTGACTTATAGGGGGTTTTTTTGGCAGAATCGTAAGAGCTCGCCGAGCTGAGTCGATCGCGCGGGGGAAAAAGTAGATCCGACGATCAGAGACCGAGTTACAGACCCCTGAAGTTTGAAAAGAGAAGGGGGAGTAAGCTAATTTTGCCCTGATCGTCGGATCGACTTCTTCCCCCGCGCGATCTACTCAGCTCTGCGAGCTCTTTCGAATGACATTTTATCGAAATCGGAACTGCCAAAAAACCCCCTTATAAGTCACAATACCTGAATTTTTGCACAACTGTCCGAAAAGTTAGTAATTTTAATCCATAAAATTTTCAGATGTGCTTAGTAAAAATTATCTTTTACTTCAACTACCAGACATTATTAAAAGCAAAGACGACATCAGAATTGTTTATTATTATTTAAATAAATTATTTAGTTGCTCTTTTGAATATTGCGGCTTCGATATATTTATCTTCAATTCGGAATTAATTAAATTATTATTTGGAAATTCTAAACAAATTTGTATTCGAGAATTTTATCTGGAAATTACGGATCACATTATTGAAAATGTCTTGAAATTCATTTTGAATCATCTAATCAGCGACAGTATTGGCATTAATTTTAGTTTATCAAAAGAATTTCCAAAATATAAAGATATTTTATTTAAAATTTTAACGAAAGGAGACAATTTTAATGAAATTAATTTGATGGACTTATTTAATTCAACAACACTTTATGAAAATATTATTGAAGTAAGTTACCAATAAGATAAAAATAAAAGTTAAATTTTAAGTATATAGCAACATCTAGAAACTGTTCAAAAATGGTCTCTTCTATTTTTTTTAATTTCAATAATCACACAACTCTTAAATTAAATGAGAAAGCAAAAAATGCTGAAATTAAACAACTTGATAAATTAAAATCGACAGAATACCAAATAGCCAATATTTTCAATCCAGAAGTGAGATTCTCATTTTACAGTGAAGAATTGGAACGTTTTTGGTGTTATGGAGTTATGATCAGCATAAAGAGATTGTAGAAGATTTGTCGGAGAAATAAATAATTTTAAAGATTTTTGTTTTCCTTGACTTTCTAATTAAATTATTTTTTATTAAATTTATTTATATCGGCCGGGAGACACTTTGGGTAATAAATTTGAAAAAATTAAAAAAAAATTTTTTTAACAAAAAGAACAGAAATTTTAAAATAGATTTAGTGCTTTTCCGTTCCCTACCTATTTTTTGCGGACCGTACCGTAGGTGTAAACTTTGTAATGTTCTGGCTTAATGATGTAAAAATCCGAAACGGAATTTTACAGTCAAACTGCACACACACACATTATTTATCACAAACATTAAATTAAAAATAAAGAAAAATTTTCTTGCGGTTGCTTTAAGATTTTTATTAAAAATATAAAAAATCGAAAACAATAAATTTTAAATATTATTTAAAATATTTTATTTAAAATAATCCCTCAATTAATTTTAACAATTACTTTCAATTTTTCTCTAAATTATGTCAAAACGAATCCTTTAGAAAATTCTATCAAAAAAAATTTTCTAAATAATTTTCATAAATTTTGGTACCTTTTCGTAATACATTGCCAGAAACATCAAAAATTGACAATTTTTTCTTTTCTCTTAAAATTTCCCCATTTCTATTTTCTAAAATAAAATTGTGTAAAATATTTTTTCTAATTAATTTATATTTTTCTTTAAAATTAATTTCACTATTTAATGAAGATTTTAATTTAATTCCAACAATCCATGAAGTACAAAGTTGATTTCTGGAAAGTATTTTCTTATAATTATTATTAAAAATTCTCTCTTACATTTTAGGAAACTTTAATCCACAATTTTCTGTTTTTAATCCAAAGTGGCAGTAATCTACCTAAATTAAAAAAATTTTTTATTTAATATTTTTCAAAGGGAGGAAATAAAATGTTGGTTGAAATATATTTTTGTTGTGGAAAAATTCATTGGAATAGAAAAGGCATGGAATAGAAATGAGCGAAGGAACAACTACTATGTCACCCCCATAACCCGAATAAAGATACTTTTTACATTTATGTTATTTTTGCAAGTGCAGACACAACTAGTATATCCAGCTTTTTAATTCATTTTAAAAATACCTCATCAATATTACATATTTGTTCATCTATTTCTGATTTAATACGATTTTCAACAAAATTACAAAACTTCTCTTGATTAATTTGACTGTTTGTAACACAATAAATAATAATATAATTTTGATACTAATAAAAATAAAATTAGAATTATTTTAATTAAAAATTAACCTTTGAAATAAATTTATTTCCTTCAATTATTTTTCCAAAATTATTTAATTGTTTATTATTTTGTATTAATTCATTTATTTCATAAAAACCTTTAATTTAAATTTAATTAATTTTATTTTTAATATTTACCATTCAAAATTTCATTTTTAATTATTTTAGCATTTAATTTTGTTATTTTAAAAGTAAGAGAATTTTCTGAAAATGTTGGGCTATAAACGGTTATTTCTTGTTGATTTTTTTGTTTTTCATTTACTATCTCTTTTGGTGTTTTTATTCTGATAGGTGTTTTCCAATTCCTTTAATTTATTTTAAATTTTATTTCGATTAATGATTAGAACTATTTACAAAAAATATTTTTGGTGGAATTTTTAAAACTAATTTCCAGACTACAACAATCTTTAGAATTATGGATCATCATAATCGACAGTATGTCTCTGACTAACTTAAAAGGACACATTATCAGATGTGGGTAATAATTCTGATTTACGCCTCTTGATTTTCGTCATTATTTCCTCCTATTTTTGGAATTATTTTAGAATATTTAAGCTGTTAATTGGGCTAGTTACAATTTCCTAAACTTCTGTCCCTCCTCTCATAATAATTTAAATTTTCTTAAAATTAAATATCCTAACCATGTAGAATATGTTAAAAAGAATCTTTCAATTAATTCAATAAAATTCGTGTCTGGATATAGCAATAATACTTTCATAATCATTAAAGAAATTGTTGTTCCATCCAAAAACCCAAATTTATTTCCATAAATACAATTCTCTTTAAAAAATAATTTCTTTTTAAATTATTTTTCTTTAAAAAAACCTTTAGCCCAATTTTTTAAATAAATAAATGCTTTAAAATAATTTTCTTTAAATTTTTCATCTCTTTTTTCAATTAAATTTTCTAAATATTTATATGTAATTAAAAGAGATATTTTATAAATTATTTCTTTTTGTTCATTAATTTTACTATCACTTTTTCCTTTTTCAATTATTTTTAAACATTTTCTTTCAATATTTTCTGCCCATTTATTTATATTTTCTGTTATCATTATTTTTTGGTCTGTAATAATTAAACTAATATCAAATTCAACTTCTCCAATTTGGAAATTAATTAAATTATTTGATTCAAAATATTGAAGATTTTTAATTAATTTTATCTATTAAAAATATTTTTTTTAATTTTGTGAAAAAATAAGAATATATCAAGTGTGGTTAATTATGTATGTTAATTTATACCTACATAAAACCGTCTGGAAACAATACTTTGACTCCATAAAGACGGTTTACGGATGACTATTATAATTTTTCTTTAAAGAAGAAAGAATCATTTTAAAATGTTGTGAGTCTTCTAAACGATCTCCTTCTTCCTTTACTTTCGAATAGGGAAGGATCTTATTAATGTTTAAATTAATATATTTTTGATTAGGCACCTTGATTTAAAAAAGTTAATTAATTCATTCCCCTTTCTCTAATAATCCTAAACTACTCCTTGATTCCTAGTTTTTCTTTCAACTTTTTTTAAAATTAATATTTATGTAGATTTACCTTACAAAGATGACAATAAAAAGAATTGTCTGTACAATTAATTATAAAAGGGGGTCTACAAAATGAATTTAAATTATTTCCAATAAAAATATTTTGAATATTATTATCATTATCTTTTCTTTTATCAATCATTTCTTCTAATAAAATAATAATTCCATTAACATGTCCCCCTCTCCCTTTTCCTTTCCAAAAATTGTTATTAATATATGGACTAGCAATTAATAATTTAAAATAATAATTATCATTTTCTTTCCATAAATTAAAAATATTTTTAAAAATTTCTATTGGATTTTCTTTTTTATTTTTTAACAAATATTTATCTATTAATATTTGTGTATTTAATTGTTTATTTAATACAATTTCCATTAAATTATTGTTTTCTAATAAATTATTTTCTTGTGTATTTTTGTGAGAATTAATTAATTCTGACTGATTAAATGAAAGTGATTGGGATCCTTTTGGATTTAAATAATTATTCTCATCTTTTTTATCTGAATATTTGTGTAAATGTTAGGTAAATAGTTAATAATTAAAATATTTTTAAATTCTGTTTGAGTCAAACCCCTCTTTTAGTTCATCACACTCTGTTTTCCTATAAGCATTCCAAAAAATTTCAGAATCCTCTCTATCACAACTTTCGAAAATTTATATCAATAAACTAATTCATAGTCCCATATTAACTGCCTTAGAGTCCCACATTTAAAAATCTAACGGGATACAAGTTAACTTTTAAAACACGAGAAAGTATTCCTCCCTCCCCTTCCTCCCTCGATTCTTTATTAATTTATCTTGGCCGGACATATTGAATTTGGATTAGAAATTTACACTTTATATTCTGTTTAAGCAATTTTAATTTCAAACCTAAATTAATTTGTTTATTAATTTGTTTAATATTTTCAATTCCTCTTTTAATTTTTATTTCAAAAAATTCTTCAATTTCTTTTTTATTATTTAAATTAAATATTTTTTGAATAAATTTTCTTTCATTTTCTCCAAAATTAAAATTATTTTTTTCAATAAAAAATTCACAAATTTTATTTAAAAATAATTTTTTTTTATTTATTTTATTAATTTTTAATAATTTAATTAATAAATTATTTAATTCTTCTTTTTCTTCTTCTTTTAAATTTTTATTTTTAATTTTTTCCCAATTTTCTTTTAATTCTTTAAAATTATCTTCTTTAAAATAAATATTAAAAATTTCAAAATTAATTTCTTTTAATTTTTCTAAAAATAAAAATCTTTTTTCAATTTCATTTAAATAAATAGCCATTTTTAAAATAGCCCGTTTTCCCCCTCTTTCTCCTTCTTCTTCTTTTCTTCCCCCTTCATCTTCCTCTTTTCCCCCTCCTCCCTCTCCTTCTTCTTTTCCCTCTTTTCCTTCTCCTCCTTCCTCTTCTTCTTTTACGCTTCCTCCTTCCTCTTTTACTTCCCCTCCTCTTCCTTCTTCCTCATTTCCCCATCTTCCTTCTTCCACTTTTCCCCATCCTCCTTCCCTCTTTCCTTCTTTTCCCTTTCCTTCTCCTTCCTCTTTTCCCCCCTCTCCTTCTTCAATATTTTTCTTAATTAATTCAAATAAATTTTTATTTTCAATAAAATATTTTAATTTTATAATTTCCTCCTCCTCCTCTTTTTTATTTTCTTTTATTTTTTCTTCTTCATTTTTATTTTCTTCTTTTTCTTCAATTAATTTATTTGAAAAAGTTGGGGAAGCTTTTAGTAATTTATTTTCTTTTTTCTTTAATTTTTTATTTAATTTTTTTAAATTTAATTTTTCCTTTTCTTTTTCAATTTCAATCATTTTTATTATTTTTCTACTATTTTCTAAGCTTACAAAATTTTGTAAATTTTTAAAAAGATTTTCTGTTTCTATTTCTTTCATTGCTAAAAAATAAAAAACTTAAAATTACTCTTACAAATTTTGATTGTGTATTATATTGACTATGGCTGCCGGCCCGGTTCGTTCCGAATGATCGAATTTTGGCCCGAAAAAGACTCAAAATAATGACTCGAACGTCGGCCCGACTCGTAAACGGCATCCTAATATTGACACTGGAATTTTTATCCATTCTCATTTAAACAGTAAACGTGTCAGAGAGTTGATTTCCTTCCCGTTTCACCAGTAATCCCCTTCCCCCTCCTCCATTTTTTGAAACCTCGTTGACTCGTTTTTGCCTCCCAATCTCCACAGTTATCAATCAGGGAACGTGCCTACATCAGAAATAACTTCCTAATTTCGGGAATTGGATCGACTCGTTCCCTACTTCCAACCTTAATTGACCAATAAAATATTTAGTGGTTAATTAACTAAATTCCTCTAAAATACATATTTAAAAAGTTTAAAGAAATAAAAACAAACTTTCAATTAAATATTTATTTTTCTCCCCAATTAATTTATTTATTAATTTAAAATGTTCGGCTTTTAACCAATTTTTAAATTTATTTAAATCTTTTTTGTCATAACCATTCTCTATATACGAACTATATCTTTTACTATCAATATCTGTCCATTCCTCAACAATTTTTAAATTTCTATTTAAATTTTGTGGTTTATTATTTTTCTAAAATTTTTTAATTTTATCGTTTTAAAAATTAAAAATCTTCCTTACAATTTTCTTTTCTTTCATTTTATTTTCAATTAAATCTTTAAATTCCTCTAATATTCCCAAATAATTTATTTTTACATTTTCAATTTCCTTTTCATTAATTACAAATAAATATTCATAATTTTTATGTATTTTTATTTTATTTTCATTTACGTTAATCTTCATTGTTAATTTTGTTTCAGGATCTTTCCATCCAACATTTCCAGTAATCATTAAATTAACCCATTTAAACCAAATAATATAATCTGCCATAATAATTCTTATTTTATAGATAATTGGATTTTTGTTTGTTAATATATCAACATAATGTTTTGTTATTTGTTTATTTTCTAGAAAATCTGAAAAGAAAATAAAACTTTAAGTTTTTTAATTGGCAGTCATATCGGAATTTTTTTATTTTGAAATTGTTTAGGAGATGATTCTGTTAACTTTTTTCTGTTAAAATTTTTGAATCCTTGACGACTTAGTAGTGTTTAATTTAGCTCATCGAGTTGTATCGAACCATTCTAAAGCGTTACTGATTTAAAAAATTAGCCGAAGTTATAGCTCTACGACAAAGTTCTCTCGCGGCGGACTCTTGTTCACTTATTTGGGTTTATTGTGGTTGACCTGTCAGGAGGTTTGCCCATAAGTATTGCTACCCAAAAATATTCCTAAAATATTCTATATACTGAATAAATTTCTATAATATTTCTCATTTTTAATTTAATTTATTGAACTAGAAATCCCCTCATCTCATAACAACCGAACCAAAATACAAACTTTGTTAACTAACCACAATTCACAATTTTAGTTTATTTATTTAATATTTTTAATTTTATTTATTTAAATAATATTATAATTTTATTAATATTTAATAATTAATTTAAATTAAAAAAATATTTTCAAACCGTTATCATCAAGTAATCCATATTTTTTAACAAAATTTTCTGTATATTTATTTTCCTCAAGAAAACATAAAAGAAAGAAAGTTGTTCCCTTTTTACTTTTAATTAATTCTAAATTATTTTTGTTTTCATTAAATTTTTGATCCAAAAAATCTAAATGATCCAGATTTACAATTTCATCAATTTCTCTAATATATTCAGGATCTACCTCATTTTTTAAATTTAATTTTGTAATAATTTCTTCTAATTTTTTATTAATTTCTTCAATAATTAAATTAATTTCTCCAATTTTAACAAAATTTCCAAATTCTTTAGTTTTACCAGAAAGGAATTCAAAACATTCGGTTAAAAAATATAACGAATAATTTAATTTATCTTTCATATATTTATATATTTCTTTTTTTATTTTTTTAAATGTCTCTTCTAAATTTCTATATTTTTCCGAATTTATTTTTAAAAAAGACAAAAGAGCATTTTCTATTTTTTCAACTTTTCCCAACAAAGTTGAAATATTCATTCTGACTTCTAAATCTGTAAAATATAGTCCCTCATTCGTGTGGATTTCCATTTCTGTTGATTCTAACCATAAAATATTTTTATATAAATACCATCGGAATTCTGGTTCGATATAAGCTAAAAATATTTAATTTAATTTAAATATATATTTAAAAATTATAAAATTAAAATTTCAATCTGATCTCAATGAGGGAATATAATAACGAATTTTGAATTAATTTTATATTTATTTTCCGTAGTTATGCTAATAATAATAATTTCTTTCCCTATAAAAATCTCTCATTTGTTTCCATTTCAAATTTTAAAAAATTTAAAAGATTCTTCTTGCAAGAAATTCAAAAATTAAATTCTAATTTTCTATAAACTTTTAAAAATAGAAAATTAAAAATTACTTACATATTATAAGAAGTTCTGGATGTTTAAACTCCAAATTAGAAAACAATTCATACCCAACTAATTTAATAATATTTGCTTTAACATTATTATCACAAGAAAAATTATTTGGGTTTATTTTACTAAGAAAAATGTGAAGAGAATTAAAATGGGAATATTTAATTTGTTTTTCTAAAAAGTTTGTGTTTAAACAAATTTCTATCAATTCCTCAATTTCATTTTCTGTTTCGCATAAAATTTCTTTATTAAAATTATCCATTTCCTTAAATTAAAAATTTTATAATTCCCCAAAAAGGAATTTTGTTTTTCCGGGTTGAATTGGATTTGCTCTGATTATCAACTGATTACATTTTTTCTACAGACGTCCAAGGCTCCTGGTCTTGAAGACTTCTTGGGGTTTTTCCTTCTTGGTCTTAATGTCTAGTCTTGGTGTTGAGCCTTGGAAAATTTTCGGTCTCGGACATCTCTATTGTTTTCAACCCTATGGAATACACTATTGGGGTCCGACTGCTGTCATTCTTATATTTTTTAGGACAAACGTCGTAATATTCTATATATTTATGATAGTTCTTATTCGGAATTGAACTATTCAATCCTATCCTAACTATAATTTTAATTTTAATCTTAAATATAATTTTACAAACATATTTAGGCAAAATAGAATACTCTTCCAAAGATTCTTTCCAATATTCATTATTTAAAAGTTCTTCCTCATTTTTAACCAAATTATTATAAATAAATTTAAAAAATTCACAAAATATTTTTTCCCTCTTCCAATTTTCTGAATTTTCCAAAATATTTAAAATTAATTTTAAAGAATTTTCTGAAAATTTTTGAAATTTTTTGTTGAATTTATTTAAATTAAATTTATATTTTTCTTTTTTAGCTTCTTCATTTTCTTTTAATTTTTCACTTAAAAATGAATAAAAAATTTTATAAAATTTATTTTCTTCTTCTTCTTCCTTTAAAATATTTTTGCCAGCAGCATTTTCAATAAAAAATCTAAAACTTTTAATTAAAGATTCAATTTCAAGTTTTTTTAAATATTCATTATTATTTGAAGATAAAAAATAATTTTTATATAAATTAAAATTTTCTTCATTTTCTTTTAAATTAAATATTTTATATTCTTCACTTTTAAATATTTTTTTTTCATTTATTAATGTTGAATTTGTAATTAAGAAAATATTTATTAAATTAAATAATAATATTAAATACATTTTTATTTTTTTATTTTTTAAATTTATTTGTGTAATTGTATAAATAAAGAATAAATAAATAAAAATATTTTATTAAAAAATATTGGGAAATACATGTCTCTTTCCTTATTGCCTATAATTGCACTTTTATGCCAATAAAACTACTTTAAAAAAGCCGACTAGCAATTCTTCACGTGAATAATAAAAAAATTATTGAGAAATGAAGAATCAACCGGAAATCTTCAAATATTCTAACCCCGGTCCTTCGGCTATAGTTTCGTATCACAACCTTATACACATGCTTTCTTATAATATTTTGTATGCCCGTTAATTAGTGTTCCAGTTATTCCCTCTTATATTGTGATTTTACTAGATGGAGTCTGAACCATGAACTCTATATTGTTGAGCGTCAAGCGTTTTTCAAGATTATTTTGAAAGCAAAAACGCTTGACTCTCGACACTCAACGCTAGACACGGACGTATATGTGGTAGAATGCGCTTGACACGGATGCCCGCACGGACGCTTGACGCTCAACACTACACGGAGATATGTGGGAGGGTGCGCTTGACGCTCGACAAAACGCTCAACAGAACGCTTGACACGGATGTCTATGTGGGAGTACCCTTAGAGATCCAAATCCTAATTTATATTTCTAATAAATCACAATTTATTTAAAGCAATTAAAGTAATTTTATTCGTTTTTAATCCATCAATTTCACATACAATTATAATTCTAATTGAAGTATTTTCAATTGATCCCTTACAGTATCCGTTTTTAATGTATAATGTGTAAGGCCATCATATTCCATTTCTTTTTTTGTTCCTACAACAATTGAAGTCTTCCAGCCATATGCTTTATTAGTTGGGCCTATTATTGTGTCGTTAGTTGACCAAAAACTTGCCTAAAATAATTACTTTTGAAGTAAAAATAAATATAAATTTATTAATTACAATATATTTAGCGTCATCATTTGAATGATCCAATTTTCTCAATATATCCCCATAATTATCTGAACATGGAATAAGATCGTTGCTGTTACACTGTTTTACATCTGTATGTTCTGGACAGCTTGGACCAGTCCAGAAACCAAACTTTAAATTTTTTATAATTAAATAATTAAACAGCCCTATACTTCTTTACTGCAAGCTGGAACTCTTTTTGTATCGTTAGTTGTTTCTCCTTCAGCATCAGCACAAATACATAAGCCATTGTTAGCACCAGCGATCGCAATAAATTTATTTATTTTACTTTTTAGAGGGTCTCCAAGTTGGCACTTTTAAATTAATTTTTAAATAAAAATTAATTTTAATTTTACTCTATGTAAAATCCACATATTCCCTTGTATAATAATTCTTGCATAAGTAACACCCATTGAATGAGCAATAATATCTATTTCTTCCGCACCTGTATAAGCTAAAACAGCATCTACAAATCTTCGCAATCTTGTAGCAGTTCCGCAAGTTAATTTACTTTATAAAAAATAATTTTTGGATAAAGGAAGTATTTTAATTTTAAATTATGTAATTGTTACAAATCTCTATATTTAAATTTACTTAGTTCACTCCTTCCTCATAATTTTACTCCTAAATGGACGCGAACCTTAATATGTAATAACCTTTTTATTCTGATCCTACTGTTAGGGCATTTTTAGTTTAAAAATAAACTGGGCAAAAATTTTTTTATTCCTAATGAATTAAAGAAAGCTAATTTTTATTATTTAACTCTTTCGTGTATCAATAATTAAATAAAAAATACTTTTCTATAGATTTTGTAATATCCCTAATTCCATAAGTTATTGCATATAATTCAGCTGTAGTGTATCCTCCATGTGACATAAAATAACTAATTGAATTACTCCATCCGCTGTTCCAATCACCCCCATGCCCGGCTAACGCCCCATCAGAATTGCCATGAATAAATACTACTGGACGTTTATTTATCTAAAAGTCTTTATACTTGGTCAATATTGAAATTATTAGTTACAAAAATATATTATATGCTCTAATTTGGAAATATAGCCGACCTTATTCCTTAATAGACAAAGCCGGAGCTTATTTTTTTAAAAGTATTATAAGAATTCCAATAACTAATTAATAGAGTTGGTAGAGAAATCGCAAACGCAGAAAATGGAAAATATGCACAAATTTTGTAAAAATCTGATTAAAAATCTACAATCTTTTTCCACCAACCCCAATTATAATAGTATGATAAATTTTTGACAAATATTTCTAATTTTTTGTTGATATCTATATTTATGCGGATTGATTCGGCTTATTAAGGATACCTAATTTAAATTTAATTTTTTAATATTTACCGGCTGATTTTTGTATTTACGCCCACCAAAACTATTTAAATTACCAAAACCAGCCAAGTCCTCATAATATTCATGCCTGTCAAAATTTATTAGAAAATTTTTTTTAAATGTAAAAAAAAAATATTTTTTAATTCATATATAATTTGAATGCCCCAATTAAAGCCTCGGGGTTTTTATTTTCAACGATTTCCATTGGGTGTGCTTCTTCATAATCGGGCAATAGGACTTTTAGGGTAATTTTATTTAATATATTTACTGAGAAAGCCATTCTTGAAAATCTTGTGTTAAAGGTCCTTCTACTTTATCAGGTGTTACTATCTCAAATTCAGGTTTACATTCACATTCACATTGTTCGTTACTTTCATTTAAATTAAAAATTAAAAATAAACAAAAAATAATTTTAATTTTATTTTTTAATAACATTTTTTTAGAATTTTTAAAAATATTTTTTAAAAAGTTTTTGAAAAGCACTTTTAAGCAAACCTTTTTATAAGCATTTTTAGATCATGAATATTTATAAACCTTAAGAAAGTTTTCTGTCTATATTTATCCATTTAAATAATTTTCTGTATTTAAATTCATTTTGTTTTGATATTTTTAGAAATATATATTTTTAATTTTAAGTATTATAGGCAATCTTAGAATATTAATTTTATTAAAATAAATTTTTTTATTTAAAAATAAGATTGGCCATCGTAAATTATTTATTTTAAATTATTCAGGAGATTTGGAGGGATGTCGGCTATATCTATATCAACAGCCTTTTAATCGCCTCAGATATCTACCTCATCCCTCCATATTTCTCCAACTCTCCTACTCCACCGATATCCGCCTTAATTTCTTCAACTCCCTCATTTCCTTTTAATCCCTTCAGATCCTCTTATTAGGATTGTAAAGAAGTAAAAAATTTCGTTGATAGAAGGTTGTAGTTCTTCAGTGTGTTTTCAATGATATTTCATGTGCACTTGAAAATTTCAAAATTTCTTTGTGTTGTAATTTTTCTTTAGAAATTATTCTAATTTTGTTTTATTCACTGAAATTTCTTTTTAAAAATCCTTCCTCATCCCTGTTCACTAACTCGAAATTAACATAAAAATTCCTTGTTTACTTATTCTCTTTCTTTCTCAAAAAATTATTTTATTTCTTTTTAACTTAAATTTTCCACATATCAACTGTTTTTTACTTTATTTTAAATCACCTCATAATCAATCCTCATCATTTTTCAATTGTTGCAATGACATTTAAACTTTTTTTAAAATATTTTTCTATTTAGAGATTTGAAGTTCCATTCTATTTTCATGTTTATATTTTTCTTTTGCCATTTACACAAATAATTTAGATTTTTTTAAAATAGTTTTTTATCCTTAAACTTAAAAGATTTAATTTCATCTACTAAAAATATTTTTAAAAAATTAAATTTTTAAATCTCGAATTTCTTTTTCTTTTCCAAATGATTGACTGATTTTTAAAATTCTTTTTCTATTTTTAGTTAAAGCTTTTATTCCCAAAATATTTTAGTAAATTTTGTTATAGAAATATTAATCGCTTTTATAAAAAATTCTTAACTTTATTATTAATTAATTTTCATCATTTAAAATCATCTTAAAAACCACAGATTTTAATTTATTATCCTTAAATATAACTTTTTATTTTAAATAAATTAAATTTATAATTAAAAAATTTTTTTGGTTTACATATTTCTTTTGATTTGAAATCTATTTAATTTAATTAATAAATATCACTTTATTGAATAACAACATCATGAAACTGTAATTTTTCCTTAATTGATAGTAAAATACTAGAATATATTTAATTCGAAAACCAATATTTATGTATTTATATTTTTCCTAAAAATATTTGAGTCAATATACAATGTTTTAAATACAGTCGGATCTCGATTGTACATACCAGTAATCTAGCCGACATAAAAATGATTTCTCGATTTTCGAGAATCGGGTCGGCTAGAACCCATGTACATACACCCTTGGAGATGAAAAAATTTTGAGTTGTATGTAAGATAGAGATAACATTTAGGCAGCTCCTCTCTCTTTAAAAATTCATCTATAGAATAAAGATTGAACGTAACTCTGGGTGTACAAAATATTTAATAATTAAGAGATCTTCCTTTAAATATTTGGATGGATATATTGGCTTTGTTGACACGTCAAGAAATAGCCTCATTAGCGGAAGAATTTTCTGACAGAAGATTTTGTACAATTCTTGCCTGTTATTTGCATAGATATGGGTTAATTACTTTGCCTACACTTCGATTTGATTGTTCTACTTATGGGGCTAGACGTCAATCAGCACCAACAATACATGCCTGGCATGGAAGGGGTTGGGATTCTGAATTGCCTTTAGCCGAAGCACCTTTGCCCGTTAATATAAGAAATTTTACTTCATTAGAGATTTGGTGCTTTTAATAAATATTTGGATATTATAAATTATTTTTAGTTATTTTGATTCAAAAGTTGCCCAATTTGTTCAAAGAATGTCTCCAATATTTAATAATGTTGTTATTAATTTAGTTAGCGATTCTAAAGTTGGAGGAACTAAAAAAATAAACAACAAAAAACAATTCGAAGTTTTACGACATTTACTTCCTTCAATTAATAGTATTGAGGGAATTCGTATTGAGGATTTAAAAATGTTACCCGAACTTAATTCTAAATTCCCCACAACATTTTTAGATATTAAAGTTTGTAAAAATATTTTTAATTAAATACACCGATTCCTCTGATATATCTCTAATTAAATTTTTCAATTGCCAATATTATCTAGTTTTGTATATAGAAAAAGGAAATAATATTTAAAGGATATCCCGTAGATATTAAGGAGGATGATCATTATAATTAACTATTTACTTTGCGTTATTAAGGGTCGAAGATGAGAATTAGAGATTTATATCAATTAGAGATTTATAAGGATCCGAGATCAATTAGTGCTTTAGTCTTTTAAAATAAACTAAAAATATTTGAAATTTAAGGTTTTGCAACTTGTAAATCCCAATTTGGCAGTTTCTTCCAACAACATTCAAAAGCTTCCATCAACACCCACAGCTGCTCGTCAGCGATGGAATGTTCTTGTTAATTCCTCAAATTTCCCAAATCGTGCTAAGAGAAAATCTGTTGATTCTGCAAATTTAAATAATGAAAATGTTGATATATTAAGTTTAATTTTAAATTGGTTATCCACAAAAAGGAAGGATGGAGAGCCTAGAATGTTACAATTAAGGAGGTCATCTGATGCGAATAATAATAATAAATTAGAAGAATCATCTGTTATTGAATTTATTAATGCAATTAAAAAGGTAATTTCCAATAATTAAAAGGAGAATAAGGCTATACTAGATCCGATCTTAAAATTCGAATAAGCAATATACCGTTGTTAAAACTGACTGTACCATAATTACTGTAAGGAAGGGAAAGATCCAGCTGGCCAGCATTTAAAACGCTCACTAGGCAGGGGTTTAAGCTCTATTAAAAGAAAGGGTGAAAGCAGCGCGCCGGTAGCCCAGTCGGTAAAAACTTGTACGTGGTGAGCGAAAGCGCCTAGCAGTAACTGCCAGGGGGCCTGTCCCACTGTTTCGCCTGTCCCACTGTTTCAGTTACCAGAAACAGGTTCCATTACTGCTGTTCTAAAGCATTTAAACAATAAAAGTATGAAAACATTAGTCACCTTATAAAACTTTAGTCACTTATTTTTATTATTATTTATCTGCCAAATTTAGTTGCCTAATTTATATCAAAAAATTTAATCAAAAATCAAAAAAATTTAACAATTTAGAATTTCATTGAATCAAAAGAACCTGCCAGTTATTTTATTCGAATGAGAGAACATAATTGTATTGAAAATATTTCTAATTTTAAATTAACGAATGAATTAACAAATGAATGTTTGGAAATGAATAAAATTAAGAATGAAAAGGGGGGAGCTTTAATTAGTAGATATTTAATTAATGAAGTAAGAGATGAACAATGGTGGAGACAAAGAGAGGAAAAAGCTATTAAATGGAGATATGCTTCTAGATTAAGAAGAATTGCTTTACTACACTATTTAAAATAAATTAATAAATCCTCCTAATCATGTATGAACAGGCTATTTTTTTGTAATTTATAAATAAAAATTTTCAAATTTCTTTCCGAATCCAAAAAGGAAAAAATTTTTGAAATATACTGCAATTAACGAATGGATGTTTGAATTTTGAATTTAAAAATATTCTATGAATGTTCATTGTGAGTTAAAAATAAATGGTGATGCTTCTTGTTATATTTCTGAACAAAAATTATTTTTTTACTTTCGATGTGAATGGAAAAATATTGTTTTAATAATTAACTTTAATAATAATAATTAACATTATTATTGAACATTTTAATAAACAAATTTTTTAAATAAATAAAAAAGAATTATAAAATAATTATGAATATATAAAATACTAATTATAAATTATTTAACTAAACAACTTTTAATTTAATTAATAAATATGGCAATATGACCACTCTATTTCTTTTTTCTTTCTTGGAGAAAATGCTATTTGTTGTAAAAAAGAATCAAAAAATATGCAATAATTATTAAAGACTGGCAATGCAAATTGTAACTCGGCATCTCCTTCCCAATCCCATATTTCAATTTCACAAATATTATCATGCTTAAATATTTAAATACATATTTATTTTATCGCTAATTATGGACATTCGAAGGACTCGGTTAGATGAGAAAAATTAATTGATATTTGGATAAAATTTTGTCTTTAGTTTTAGTTAGAAAGTCTTTGCCAATTACTTAAAAGCTTTTCCATTGGATAATAATTTTCAAAATTTATTTTTAATCATCCCCGAATAATTTTGATATTCTTTATCATTAATAAATTAGTATTTAATTCTTAATTTAATTTTAAAAAATCCTTACACTATATCCGGCCAAATCACCTCCATCAAAATTAATTGCAATATTCGCATCATTAAATTTTAAACTTAATTGATTTCTCTTTATTTTAGTATCATTACATAAACCATCCAAATAATAACGAGAAATATCATAATGAGCATCTAAAACATTTGAAATTTTTGTAATATCTTTTTTATTTCCTTGTATAATATTGCGAAAAAACATCGAATAAAGAGTAAAAGTAGTGCTTCTACTGATATTTACAATTGTATTCCCCTGACTGTCAACAAGTTCATCAACAAAAAATTCAACATCATATAGCTCGTCCTGAATGATAATAAATATTTGTTTTAGATGATAATAAATATTTGTTGTATAATATCTACAACAATATACAGCGATTTTGAGTAAAAAACTGGGTCCCGGGCCCGGCATTTTGAAAGTTCGAACTCTAGTAATGATACTTTAGACTGAGGATGTTTGTTATCTTTCAGCATAGACTTTTACAATTAGATGAAGAAATAGTTAGGCTATTGCGGCCTTAGTTAAAACCTAAACGAATTTTTTTGAATTTGAAAAAATTTTTAATTAAATATTTATTTAATTCTACTAAAATAATATTTCTTTAAATAAATTTACATCAAATTTAGCATTCATTGGAGTACTCATTTTATCCATATAACAATATTCTTCAAATTTTTCCTCTTCATAATAACAATTATCGAGAAAATAATAAATAGCATAATTATCAATGGATTCATATGAAAGCATTGCATAATCTATAAAAAATTCCTCTTTTTCTTCGTCGTTATTTTTAATTTTTGTTGAATTTTTTAAAATTTCCCTCTTTTTATTTGAAAATAATTTTTGTCCTCTTTTACTCAAAATATTCCTTGATTCAATAAAATTAATATTTAAATAAATAAATAGAAAAATTGTTAAAAATAAAATTATTTTGAAATTATTAAACATTTTTTTTTGAATTTATTTCTTTTAAATAATTTAAAAATATTTTTTAGTAAACTGATTAATTTATATATTATTTTGTGGACACAAAATAGTAAGAATATTTAGTTCCGGAAGGAATGCTAAGGAAATAATTGGACGTTATCTTTAAATGATTCCATTTTTAGTTAAACATCATAACTTTAATACGATTATTTACATATTTATTTATTTTAGAATTTTGTATTTAAAAAAATTTTTGGAGATAAAGATATCTTTTAAAAGTTGAAAAAATATTTTAGTTGATCCAAAAAGGTGTAGGAATTTAGGTACTTATAAGATAAAGTATGTATAAAAGTGATTAAAAACGGCATGATTATTTGGAAGCAATGAACATTAATTGTACAGAATTGTACTCTCAGAATCTTAAATAAGTAATCTCTCAGAATCTCAAATGAGTAGTTTTAGCATTTTTGAATAGAGTTGAAACAAAAAAATTTTCGAAATCGAAGGAAACGAACGAAAGAACCCTCAAAAATCGAAATTTCGTGATAGCTCTAATAGGGGATACCCAACATTCTAGTGAATATTAATTAGCTTACCTAAAAAGATTGATTTAAAAATGATTAAAATAATAAATAATTCTACATATTACCTATTTTTATTTAAAAAAATGTTTTTCAATTCAGCCATGTTTTTGTCTAAATTAAATTTCCTAAAACATTTTTGGAATGAAAATAATTAAATTTTATTGGATAAAATGGATTGTTTTTAAGTCTTCTTTTTATGTATCTTATTTTAATTTCCAAATTTATTTTCGTACATATAAATATTTTTATTTCTTTAAAATATTATATAAATTTATTAAAAATATTTTTTTTAATATACATATAATAATTTATATATTTTCGAAAACATTTTAGCAGATTTTTTTTCTACATATTAATTTAAATAATTAATAAATATACCAAATTTGATTACTAAAAATAGAGCTTTGGTTGATTTCCATATGGTGATGATGGAAGAATATGAAAATGAAAAAAGTTGTTTGTAGCCGTATACTATTTACGATTCTTGAAAATTTTGTGTAGATAGGATCTCTTGTCACTACATACATAATTTATATTTATTTTTTAAATTTTAATTTATTTCCAGTTATTTATTTTACTTAAAATGTGTGGAATTGCCCCAAATGAACTTTGTAAATGGTCAGAAGCATTACCTGGCCAATTTGGATTTACAAAACAATTAGTTCATTCTAAAATTTAATATTTAAAAAAATTAAGTTTTAAAGGTTTTTCGTGTTGCTTTACCTCATATAACTTTACTTTTTTTATCTATTTTTTATGTTGTTATTGGCTCTTTTATTTTAATTACTTTAAATGAAAATAATTCAGAAAATGAAATTTTTGAGTTAAAAAATATTTTTTAATAAAATATAACAAAAATTTATATTTAAAGAATTAAAAAGCAATTTGTGGACGAAACATTAAAGAAATTAGTTGAAATTCTTCCTTATAAAAATAATAGTTCAAAACAAAATGAAATGATTAAAATATTTTTTGGTTATTTTTATGAAGAGAAGAAGGATCCTTTTAAAATATTTATTTTAAATGTTTATGAAATTAATGAGAGAAATGTAGGAATTTAAATAATTTTGCTTTATTTAAAATTGCAATACATTTTACTAGTATTTATATACTCCACAAATACATACATAATAATTGTAATATAAAATTGCTGGCTAATAATTGTGAGGATGATTCACCTAGAGTATTTAAAACGCTTAGGCGTGGATTAAACGATCTAAAAGGATAAAAGAGCATTAGTCGATGTTCCTGTAGCTCAGAGTAGAGCTCTTGTATTATATGGTGAGCGAAAGCGCCTAGAAATAACTGTCAAAAGGTCGTAGATTCGAATCCTGCCCGGTGGCTAGACCTTTGCTAAACTCTTTCTTAATGTAGGAACTAAAAATACAAAAAATTTTGTAGATCCAGCTTTGTAGCTAACTCTTCTTTTTTCATAAAATTCTCTCCAATTTTGACCAACTTTAGTTTAATATGTATTTCCCCATTACTTTTTAAACAATCCATAAAATCAAGAAAAAAACTAATTAATTATTTTAAATTTAATTATTTATTTCAGAAATATTCGAATAGCATAATTTGGAATTTATTCTTTTCAACTACTTGGTTGACTTCTATTGGTATTTCTTTAAAAATATTTGTTTCCGAATTTAAATAATTTAAGGTTATGGTGTAAATGCACCAAACAGTTTAGGTCAACGTATATTTTGCATATTTTATTTAATTTTTGGAATTCCTCTTTATTTGGTTACCTTAGCAGATTTGGTGATTTTTAAAAATAAAATATTTTTCAAAAAAATATTTTAGGCAAAATTTTGTACAGAAGGAATTAACAGACTTTACACAGAATGTGTTAAATTTCGTTATTATTTACTTGGATGGTATCGGCACAGAAAAAGAAGAATTCATGCAAATAGCGGAATTGAATATATCGCTGTTGGAACTAGAGGAAGGAGAAGACTTTCTTCTCGTAAACTTTCTGGTCAATTAGTCAGAAATGAAGAAGAAATGGCTGAATTTCTTTGGAAAAACTTAGAAAAAACACATTTTGTTGAAGTCCCCTTTTTTCTTGTTTATATTTTACTTTTGGCTTATATTATTGGCTCTGCACAATTTGTAGCTTATCTCGAAGATTGGACATTCTTTGATTCTCTCTATTTTATTATGATGAGTGTAATGACTATTGGCTTTGGAGGTGAAAATAATTAATTATTGAAGAATTAAGAATTTAAGGAAGTAATTTAAGACTAACTGGAAATAGGATGGGGGAGGATGGATGTGGAAGATGGATGATATGTATATATCCTTAGTTCTGCTTACACAATAATAAAAATATTAATTAATAGCTCGGATCTAAATTTAAATTTGCCCATTAGAGGCTGCGTCTAAATTTAAGGTACATTTCTTTAGTTGACAACTGAGGGGCTGTTTAAACGACATCTCCAATAAAGGATGTACATAAATAATGGTGTAAATAAGTATATGTATACCCCGCTCCAAGGGTGTAAATAAAATTCCAACATTACATATTAATTTATATTTCTTTAAGATTTAGTACCAAAAAATGTAAAATTTATTTTGCCGATACTTTTTATTATATTAATTGGATTAATTGTTGCCACTACTTTTATTGATATGGTAGGGGCTTATTATATTGATAGACTTCACTTTTTTGGTAGAAGAATGGATTTAGAGGTACTTAAGTTTGGAAAGAATATTTGGGGAAATTAATTTTATTTTATGATCCTTTGGAATGGTTAAAAGCTGTCCAACAACGTAGAATAGAGGCTATGAAGAGAGAAGCTATGCGTAAACTTTTTGAGACGGCTACAGCAATGTATAGATTAAATGCTGGAAGTTTCTCTAAAAAACAAATAAATTTAATTAAAAAAATGCCTGAGGGTATTTCTAAATTAATAATTTAAATAATTTATTTAAAAAAAGTAATTATTCCAATGCCAAAAGGAATTGCTCCTTTTAATGCAACAGCTGATTCTGTTACTCTCAAATGGGAACCTTCAACACAAATTTTTTTGGAAGGAAAGCCTTTTTGGTATACATTAAGTTATGCACCTAGAACCCCTCACAGATTAAATAATTCCACCAAAGTGATTGATTTTTTGAGACAAAATCGTTTTGTTGTTAGTGGATTAAAGTAAAATATTTAGTAAATTTATTTTCAAAAAAATTATTTTAAGATCATTTACTCTCTATGAATTTAATGTTCGTATTTCTACTTCAGAGGGAAGTTCAAAACCAGTTAAATGCCAAGAATATACTGGTCAGAATATACAATTTAAATACTTACTTAAAATTATTAAGAGCCTTGTACTGTTCCCCAATTATTACAATTGGATGCTATTAGTTCTGAAACTGCTACAATTTCTTGGCGAGCTCCAAGAAAAAATAATGGGCCAGAAGTTTTAGATTTATTTTGACAAAAATTATATTTATTTTTAAAGAAATATTTATTATTATTTACTCAAGAACCAGCTCCCCCTTTCCAATATTGGAGAAGATTTGAAGCTGGAAAACGAAGGAAATTTACACTTATTGGCCTTAATGCTGATACTCGGTTGAACTTTTTAATTCACAGGATTTTCACGTGTGGTGTTAAAAAGAATTAATCTTAGAGCCTACCGAAGATCCCGAAATCTCTAAAAATAGTTTTGCCCTTAGCATTGCATATTTAAATTTTGGCTATTCGGCGCCTGAAGTTATATAGTTGAGCAATTTAACCTTTAAATAAAAACAAATTTAATTAATTCGTTAATAAACTTTAAATATATTTAATTATTATTTAGATATATTGTTTGTACTGTTGCTTTACATAATTTTGGTCAGGCAGCAATTTCCCGTTCCTTACGTTTCAAAACACGTTCTTGGTGGTTTGATGAAGAAAATATAGGAAAAGAATTATTAAATAAAGATGAACAACAACAATTATTTTTAGACAAAATTAGATGTAATAATTTCCTTTTACCTCCAAAATGGCAAAAAAGAGAAAGAAAGTAATTAAAAATTATTTAAATTAATTTTTAATATTTAAATTAGGCCGAGTCTTCGAGAACCAAGTATTGGTGTGAGCAGTGGAGGGGCAACTAGAAGGAGTAGTTTACAAAGTGGGGAATATCAAGATAGAAGTTAATAGTATTTTAAATAATTGTTAAAAGCGATATAGTACATCCATAATAGGGGAATAGAGACCAATGATTCTAGAATTGTAATTTGTCATAAACTTTTAATAATAAAAAAAGCAAAATTATTTAAGAATTATATAAGTCGAACTTTTTAATTCCCAGGATTTTCAAATGCGGCATTAAAAAGGATTAATCTTAGAGCCTACCGAAGATCCCAAAATTTCTAAAAATATAGTTTTGCCTTTAGTGCTGTAAAGCCTTAATTTCATTTTTTGTTTTAACCCTATAAGTTTAGGGTTTATAAAAGCAGAAATAAAAACTAATTATTAAATAAAAATTATTTCCAAAAAAAATGTTAACAGTTAAAAATTTAAAGAAATATTAAAATTAATTTATTATTTATTTCTTTGGTTTTGTCAAAAATTCATTCTCGTCAAAAGGTTTTTCATTAAAATAAATTATAAAATTTCTTCCATTTTTCTTTTCTTCACTAAAAATATTTTTAATTTCATTTTTTGTTGTTGATCGTCTAATTTGTTTTACTTCCTTTTCCAATGAAGAGAAAATACCTTTTTTCAACTTTAAATAAAAATTTAATTTAAGTTTTTGGTTTATTCTCTTCAATTGAAATTTTGACAGTCTTCTTTTGATGTTTTTTGACTTAGTTTTTTACTTTCTACTTTTGGAGTTGTTTTGATTGTTTCACTCCTTTTACTTTCCTTCTTTGTATTTTTTGCTTCAATTTTAGTTTCATTTTTATTTTTCTTAGACTTCTTGGCTTCTTCTTGGACGTTATTTTTATTTTTTGTAGCTTGAGGAAGTTTTGATGATTTTGTAATTGGTTGAATTGTTGTTTGTTATTGAATTACTGGAGGTTTTTGGTTGTTCATAAACGGAGTAGTAGAAAGTTTTCTTTCTTAAAAACCTTTAGGAATTGGCACACCTTCACGTAAAGAGTTGGACAGTTTTTCGTACTCAGAAATTGTCATAGCGGGTTTTTGATCTAAAATTAATTTTTCGAGATTATTTTCAAATAAATAAAACAAATTATATGTATTACCTTTCTTCAAGTCAGGCGCGAAAGTGACAAAACCTCACGTAACGACTTGATAATCTTCGTAAGCTGGAAGTTATCTAAAATATATGGACATTGTCATGTCCATACATTGTCATATATGGACATTGTCATACAAAAAAATACACATGACAAGAAAAAGTAAATATCACACCTGTATTTAATCCTGATTTAACTGTTTTTCCTTTTTTAAAGCCGAGTGAAACAGGTAAACCCTCACGTAGTAAATTATTTTTTAATTATCAAAAAAAAATTTCAGAAACAGAAAAAAGGGTCAAAATAACCATATATTAAATGCAAAGAGGTACAAAAAAATACACATTATTTTTTTAAATATCTTTTACAAAAAAGTGTACAGTAACACATTCAAATCGTTTCCTTTCTGATTCTTCTACCTCACTAAAATACCTATATAGTTTCTCGATCTCCACTTGACCCATGAATTTTTAAGACAGAAGCTAGGTTACCACAACGATAGCAATAATTGGGGGCTGACCAAACAGTGCACAACATCGTCAAAAATATATTTAAAGCCTTCCTGTACAAATTGATGTGACCGACAAATTAATGAAAGCCCATTAACTTCAAGAAATTTTTCTACAACATCGCGGCCAAATAACCATCCAGCACCACGAGGATTAAGAAACAGCCACAATCAGAATCGTCTGGGTCTGACCAAACCAAATCACAAAGCGCACCATTTGCCGGAACTTCCACACTTCTTTGCAAGCACATTATAGCATCTAAAGTAGGCAATTCTGGACTAAGCCCTCCATGAACACAAAATATTTGGTTATCAATTAATGCACGAATTGGAAGAACATCAAATACACGACAAAACCAAGTCCAAACAACAGAATTTCCATATTTGTGTTGACATTCGTCATAAAAACCGTATTGGTGGGAAACTCTTCGAGTTTCGTGATTGCCGCGAACCCTGTCAACATAATCTCCCAGAAAAACATAATTAGTCTCCAAAATCGATCCTCCACTTTTAAAAAGCTTCATAAGTTCATAAAATTGTCCATGAATGTCACCACAAATTGTAGCTGGCGATTTAGCAGAAACAATGTTTGGAACACGAAGAAGTCAAACACGAAGAAGTGTTTGGAACACGATTCATCAAAATTTGGCATGTAGTAATCATTTGTTCCTCGGGTAAATATTGACAAGCAGAAACAGTTGAAAGCAATTTGGATGGATATGCAACACGTCCTCGAAAGTTGGTTGGAGTCTCATTTTCTTCATCTCAGTTTTCTCCACATTTGGGGGCGGTGAAGGAGATTTATTATTATTATTTCCCTCTTCAACCTCTTCCTGTGGGGATCATGCAAGATTATTAATTTCATTTAAAGCGGAAGAACATCCAGAAGCGATAGCTTCTAAACTAGAATCGCGACTAAAATATTACTAAGTATCAAAGATTGCCTTAAATTTAACTTCTAAAACTTTGTCATGTATGGAAATATCGAGACCGATTAAATTCTTAATTTTTTCTCACGTCTGGAAAAATTAAAAAATTTACATATATTTAGATCAACATATCATTTTAGCAACATAAAATCTAAGGATATAGAGAGATCTTCCCACCCAGTTATTTTACACCCGCACGATACAGGACCATCTTTAAAATAAAGAACCGGGCACTTTGCATTGGACACGTAATCTGGACAAGACCCATTTATTTTTGAGAATTTTATAAAAACGAAAAAATCACAACGGTCAAGCACATACTATATTTACTTACAGTAAATAAAACATTTTTGTAAAACCAGATTTTTCACAATAAACGATAAATCACTTATAGGTATATCGACAATAATTAATTTTCTAATATTCAGTAATTAATACACGATTTTCAAATCAAAAACCAAAATTTAGTCGAAAACGAGAAAAACTGACCATGAAAATATAAAAAAAAATCACTCAAACAATCATTCACTAATCACATAAATATTTATATGAAAAAGTCAGTGAGAAAACGGACATTATTAAGAATATGGGAATGCATTAATATTGTATAAAGGTCTATCAGAATTATTTGTCTGTAAAAGAACAGAGCTACTAGAGCTGTCCGAGACTCTTGGTCTTGGAACCAAGACTTTTCTTGGTTTTTTTTTCGGTCTTGGTCTTGGGGTGTTTGTCTTGGTCTTGTCTTGGTTTTATTTTTGGTATTGAGTCTTGGAGTTTTGGTCTTGAGTCTTGGAAAAATTTCGGTCTCGGACAGCTCTAAGAGCTACTAATATTCCAATTATTTAAACTATTTAGACGATTACACTGACTAACTTGACTTTGATGTAAATTAAGTGCATGTATCGAACCTGGGAGTCAACGTTGACAGCGAGCCTCCTCTATGCTAAGAATATAGTCTCGTTGTTCTGGTGGAAATTTACAAAGAGCGCAAATGACTTTAGCAAGAGTCTGAAAAACAAAAAAAATAAAATAGAAATTTACTAAAGATTGATTATAAGCAAAAACTAGTGAGCGGAACCGGATCCGCCAGATTTTTCCGGAGTCCGGATCCCAAATCCTGGTTTTTTCGCGATCTCCAGATTTTTCCGGATTAATCCGGGAAAAATCCGGTCGGATACGGTCCGGCTCAATGCCAAATCCGTAATCCAAATCCGGCGATTTTTTTGTACCGGATTTGGGATTTGACCCGGTTCATGTATTTTCAGTTTTCTTGTATTTTTTATAAAAATGAGGATTTTTAACCCTTGTCTATACTGAAATTCAAAAATTTTCGCCCACGGTTGCAAGCTCAAGTTGCAAATTCGGAATCCGGGTACGGAAAAATCTATTTTTCCTCTCAATAGCACAAACATATTTAATTAATAAAAACCTTACCACACTTTCTCTTCCGAAATTTTCACGTCCAACCATGTAGTGATAAAGCACATTCCGTAAATATTGAGCTTCTGTGGCTTCTTCAAGGCTAATTTGGCGAGGTGGAAGATTTGGTTGTTGTTGCTGTTGATTTATTATGATACTTGAGGAAACAGAAGAAAATTGTTGTTGAATAGATTGGGGAATTTGTACAGACGATGGGGAATTTTGTTGTTGCTGTTCAAGTGATGGCGGAGAACCTCCTTCATCTAAACTAAGACCAAGAGAAATTTGTCGTCGCTGTCCTTCGGCGGTTTCAGGAGATTTTTCTGTAATTTTTTATTAAATATTTTTCATTGAGCATATTCAAATAAGCACAATTTTCAATTAAATTTTTATTTTATATTTAATATTTTGTTAATTTAAATATTTTTAGTATTACCATCCTGTTTCTCTAGTGTAGACAGAGCATTTGTTTGTGTAGAATTTTGTTGTTGTATAGCATCTACAGGCATTCTTTGACCTGAAGTAAAACCATTCTGAACAGCAGATATCGGTGGTGGAGGAACCGAAGAATCTGATGGAGGAAAAATCGTTGTGTTATTTATTTGTTGAAAAGGTGGAATTGTAGTATTCGGCTCCGTCATTCTAGCAGGAAAAGTAGATTGAAAAGTACTTCCAGGGAGTGGATGGCCAATTGGAGGAAGAAGAGTTGGATAAGAAGGTGCTGAAGGTAGAGGCATTAAAGATGTTTTCGGGTGTTGCAACCTATGAGAAAAAAAAACGATTTGTAAAATTTTTTAATAATTCAACTGTTTCTCCGACGCATCTCCTTGAACCTTGTCAGGTGTTAAGACATTGCCGGCAATAGACCCTCCGAGAGGAAGATCATTAGGTCCTTTAGGCACAATTGCCGAACTCGTTATAGATGAAGTAAGGGTTGTAGAACTTGTTCCTGTCGTAGTAAATTCCCCTCCAACATTTGTGCTGATCTTCTGAAGTAATGAATTCAAATTTGTAATTTTTTTGAAGGCTTGAAGATTTGATGATGAAAGAGTTGTAGTTGACGATAAGGAATTAGAAGTCGACGAAGGAAATGTTGAACCTATATATATATATTGTTGTAACTTTTGTTGCTGATCTCGACTATCCAAATTTTCCTTTTCATCATCATCCAAATCACGCGAACTAGAAAGTTGTTGAGTGGAAATTTCTTTTATGCTGCTATTATCCTGAAAAATAAAAAATATTATTAAAAGGACAAAAAGAATCTAAATGTAATTGTAAAAGCGCCGCTATTCGAGAGGACCAAAAATAACCAGCTAGTGATATAACGACGAACATAATTAAGTTCAAAAAGCACAAAACCCTACAAGAAACATATAACCACACCCACCAAGTTAGCTCTATTGGGTGATAACCTCTAAAGCTAAAAAGTGAATAAAAATAAACCCTATCCCATCGAGTTCGTCGTTCACACAATATTACCGGATTTGGATTTGTCAAATTAAAAAAAACAGACCTGGCAACGTTCCTGCTCAATTCCTGATTCACCCGATTCTGGTGAATCTGGAGGATTCTCGGCTTCATATTCATCTCCATCAACTGTCGCATCTTGATATTGCTGATATTCAGAAATCAAGTTGTTCATGCTGGACTCGGCTTCAGTAAATTCCATCTCATCCATACCTTCGCCAGTGTACCAGTGAAGGAAGGCTTTGCGACGGAACATGGCTAAACGAGAAAAATGTTTTTTAGACAAGAAAAAATCGTTTACCCATGAATTGCTCAGAGATGCGTTTGAACAGTTCTTGAATTGCCGTAGAGTTTATAATGGCCGTGGCAGAGATTTTGAGACCACGTGGAGGAATGTCACAAACCGCAGTCTTAACGTTGTTTGGAATCCATTCAACAGAGTAAGACGAATTATTGTTTTGAACTGACATCATTTGATCGTCCACTTCACGCATTGACATACGCCCACGGAAGATAGCAGCAACAGCCAAATAACGTCCATGGCGTGGATCACAAGCAGTCATCATGTTCTTGGCATCGAACATTTGCTTGGTCAATTCAGCAACATTTTGGGCCTGATAGACAGCTGCGCCCTTAGCCAAAAGTGGAGCGAAACCAGGCATGAAGAAGTGGAGACGCGGGAATGGAACCAAGTTGACAGCCAATTTGCGAAGATCAGCGTTCAATTGGCCTGGGAAGCGAAGACAAGTAGTCACTCCAGACATGGTTAAGGCTACTAAAATGAACAGGATGCTTTGAAAATGTAGAATATAAATTAACCAAGATGATTCAAATCTCCGTATGTTGGACTTTGAAGCTTCAGAGTACGGAAGCAAATATCGTACAGAGCCTCATTGTCGATGCAGTAAGTCGCGTCAGTGTTCTCAATAAGTTGATGAAGAGTAAGAGTTGCGTTGTAGGGTTCCACAACAGTGTCAGAGACCTGAAAAATTGAAAAATAAAGCCGTCTAAAAAGCTAAAAAGAACCTTAGGCGACGGAACAATAGAGAAAGAAGACATTATACGATCAGGATACTCCTCTCGAATCTTCGCAATCAACAAAGTCCCCATTCCAGAACCAGTTCCACCACCAAGCGAATGAGTCATCTGGAATCCTTGAAGACAATCACATCCCTCCGCTTCCTTTCGAACAACATCCAAAACATTGTCCACCAACTCAGCTCCCTCCGTATAATGTCCTTTGGCCCAATTATTGCCTGCACCGCTCTGGCCGAAGATAAAGTTGTCAGGTCGGAATAGACGACCATAAGGGCCAGCCTTAATAGAATCCATAGTCCCTGGCTCCAAGTCTGTAAGAATAGCTCTTGGGACATACTTTCCGCCTAAAAGTTAAAAATATTTAACTGGAATATCAAAATTTAAGAAACCATAAGCTTCGTTGTAGTAGACATCTATTTTTTCCAATTGGAGATGAGAATCACCATTGTACGAGCCATCAGGTTGGATGCCATGTTCATCAGAGATAACCTCCCAAAACTAAAAATTTAAATATTTATGAAGTTTTGAAGAATTTGAATAAAAACCTTGGATCCGATTTGATTGCCGCACTGTCCGACCTGAATTGTTATTAATTCGCGCATATCAGACAAATAACCCAATATTGATCTAAAAATTATTTTAAAAATCATTAAACATTTTTAAAAATCTGAGTCATGGAAACTACGAGAAATAAATAAATAATGAAAAAAAAAATTGGGCGAACCAAAATTAAATTTTTAAGGGAAGGGACGTTAGAACGTTTTTTACTTTATTCGGGTAGTTTCAGTGCCAATAATGTCTTTTATTTGCACAACGCCAAAGTATTAAATGAGAGCTAATTTTGTCTTTTTCTCTTACTTTTCCGTACTCCGGAACGTCCCACTTGTGTACCGGCCGTTTGTGTACCTGGCCATATTTTGGGCCATAACTTTTTTGATTCTTAACCGACTTCAATTATTATTATATCAATCGAAAGCCCTGGATGTGAGGATTATTTTCGCCAACAGGATTGATTTGATCAGATCATGTTATAAAAAGTTATATCTCGATAAATGCGCTCAATCGTGATTTTGATCTTTATCTGTCCGTAACTTTTTGTATGATTATCTGATCAAATCAATCCTGTTGGCGAAAATAATCCTCACATCCAGGGCTTTCAATTGATATATTATTTATTTAAATCAATTAAGAATTGAAAAAGTTATGGCCCAAAATATGGCCAGGTACACAAACGGCCGGTACACAATGATCCCCTACCCCCGTACTCTTTTCTTTTAATTTTTCCAATTTTGAGTTACCGATTCGGTATTTTTGGGTTACCGATTCGATGTTGGAATTCGGTAATAACGAATTCCATCTCGATAAATCCGGTAATATCGAATTCCAATAACTCGAGGTCGTTTGCAATTTTTACTAGACCGGGCATTATTCGAACCTGTGACCTATTCGAAGTTATTGCTACATAAGCGCTTTCGCTCACCGCATACTGGAGCTCTACCACTTAGCTATCGACGCCCAGGGCGACGACTATTGCTTTCTCTTTTTCTCCTTGTTGATCGTTTACATACGCCAAAGCGTTTTAAATGCTGCTAGGTGAACCATCCTTACAATGTGTTTTGCCCGTTTAATAGACTCTTATCCACCTAATCAAAAAAATTTTCTGTCCACTTATTTGCTTATAACTGAAGTCCACTCGTAGATTTTTTATGCAGTTGTTATATTTTGTTTTTTATTTTTTTTATATCAAAAAATAAATTTTATTATTCAATTTAGATATATTTATTAATTATGTCTTTAATTCTACGTTCATTTCGTCAATCTAAAAATGTTTGCAACAACAAAATTCAATTTTTTTCAAATTCTAAAAGAAGTATTTTAGCCTTTAATTATCGCCATTTTAGCAATGTTAGTTTTTTTCGATTTTTGTTTTAAAATTTAATTTATTTAAGGAAAAATATGAAGAATTGGAAAGACAGAAACGACAAGAATGGCATTGGAAGGGCGTTAAAAAAGGAATTGGATTTATGTCAATTTTGGTTATTTCTGGAACTGCTTATGTTTTTTATGTTTATGGTTTGATTTTTTTAAATTATTTTCTCCTTTGAAATTGTTTAAATTAATATTTAGAGATCGGCCTGGATCTGCATCAGATTTTATTTTTCCTTGACTAATTCACTTAAGGGCAAGAATCTTTTCAGGGTCCCCAACCAATATCAAAGCCAAGGGTTTGATTCTTCGTTACTGGCTTCCAAATAGGATCCAAAATAGGAGACCGGATTAAAACCGGACCGGATTAATCCGGAAAAATCTGGCTGGATCTTGTCCGGCATGAGTGTTAAATCCAAAATCCAGTTTCCGGACCCAGAAAAATGATTTTGCCGCTCACTATTAATAGTCAATACTTTTCCCTTTTCTCTTTAATCTTTTACTATCCATTGTTAATAATATGTTAAAATTTAGGAAGTCAGCCTCGTGATCCAGTTACTGGTGAATTGCTTCCTGATGAATTTTCTAATTATAAATTTGCCCCATTTTGGCGTGTTCTTGATTTTATTAAATTTTGGAAAAAGGTTTTTTCTTTTTAAAATAGTTTTGAAAATTATTTTTTAGTTCATTGCTGAACCTTCAAGAGAGAAGCTTCTTCCCGATCCTGTCAAGGCTCCTTATCATCAGCCAAAATATACAGTTGTTCTTGAATTGAGAAATGTTCTAGTCAGTCCTCAATGGGATGTAAGTAGAATATTAATTTTTTGTTTGGAAATTTTTCAATATTGTTAACCTTTCTCCTTGAATAATGTTAAAATTGAATTTAAATGAGCTTTTTTTGTTTTATTGAATCAGCGCCGTAGCCAAGAGAAATTGTAAGAATTTTGATCCTGCGCCGCAGGCAAAAATTTTGAGAATTTTCGAGGGCCGCATGCCACAGAAATTCACTTTTTCTCCTTCTCACGCTCTTTGCTTTTTGTCGAAAATTGATTTGAAATTTTTTTTCATTTTTTATTAATTTTCAGTACAAGAAAGGTCATTATTTTGTGAAGAGGCCAGCTTTAGATTATTTTATTGATATGATTGGATATCCAAATTTTGAATTAGTCCTTTACACTTCAGAAAATCTTATGAATGTTTGTTGTTTTTATTTTTTCTAAATATAAATTAATTTTTAGGCAGCTCCAATTGTTACTCAAATTGATCCTCAAGGACAACGAATCAATCATGCACTTTTTAGAGATTGTACTAAATATGTGAATGGTACACATGTTAAGGTTTTGATTTAATTTAAGAGGGCTTATATGTATGTTGAAGTAATTAGTTTTCTACTTTTATCTAATATATAAATTCGCCAAATAGTATTTCCCTTTGAAGAGAATCTCTAGGTCATTTATAGCAATATAAAAACTTTTTTTGTGCCTGTGAGCTTGTACATATCAGCTTGTACATAACTTTCGCATATTTCCCTCTTATAATTCATTTATTTCGCTTTTCGTAAATTGGCTAGGACTTATAGTACACACAGCTCACAAACACAAAATCTTCTTTATATTCTATAATAGACCTAGAGATTCTCTTCAAAAGGAAATATTATTTGGCGAATTTATGTTAAAAGGGGAATTTAACCATAATAATTACCAAAAAACATTCTTCTAAATAAACTTCACTTTTCTCTACCACTTTTTAAAATTTTTTTCTTAATTTTTTTTAATTTTTAAAGGATCTTTCTCGACTTAATAGAGACTTGAAAAAGGTTATCTATATTGATTGGGAACCTGCTGCTTTTCAATTAAATCCAGAAAATGTTCTTTGTGTGCCTAAATGGAATGGAGATATGAACGATACTTCTTTAGTTGATTTGGCAGAATTACTGAAAAGTTTGGAATTTTTTTAAAAACTTAAAACTATTTTTAATTTAAGCAATTCATTTATCGGATGTTGAAGATGTTAGACCGGTTCTTCAATTTTACAGTCAATTTGATAATCCTACCGAGGAATTTAGAAAGAGAGCAAAAATTGTTGGACAAGAGGTTTTTTTAGATTTATTTTTGAAAATCGAAAAAAATATTTTTTGGTGATTGAGTTAAGAATCACTTAAAGTTTAGCTTTGTTATTTTAATGTTTTATGCTATACATGTTTGAGGAGGGGGGGATTTTTTTGAATACTTTTGGATTTTTACCTGGCATGTCTATTAATAATTTTAAAGACGTTCGCGTGTTGTGGAAGATAATTTTTATTGGACTATTTTTAAATTTTACTTTTTCCCCTCCAAACTTTAAAGGAAAATTAAAAATATCCTTTGGAACTCCCCTACAAATATTTTTAAAATTTAAGAGGAATTAATTTTTTTATTTTCAAATTTTTATTTTAGAATCAACAAGCAACATCAACTTCTCAATCATTAACGACTTCAGAAGAACCTTTAAAGAAATATCGTGGTAGTTTATTTGGAGCAAGAAGGCATGCTGTTTAGAAAAAATAGTGTGAGGAAAATTGTTTTGTTTTTTTCAATGTTTCAAATCATCCAGTTAATTGGTTTTTTTCTTTTAATTTTATTAAATTTTATTTTAAAAAGAATATTTTTTATTTGGGAAAATAGGCTGTATTCAGAGGCTGTATTCAGAGTAGTGTTATTACTCGTTACCCAGTTTAAATTAGGGTTTTATCCGTCCCCATTTTCTATACAAAATTTAAATATAAGATTTTACACAAATAGGTGTTGAGCCAAATCCTCATTTTTATTTTCTAATTTTTATTTGAAACAATTAATTTTGCTCGAATATTTATTTTTTTACTCTCAATTAATGATTAGGGTAAACATTCTTAAGGAAGAACCTTCAAAAATAATTTTGCGCATTTAATGACAATCAATAAAAGCTATTTTATTCTAAAACAGGTTATAGCCAAAAACTTTTTAATTTGTAAAGTAATTAAAAACATTTCCTTATTTCCTTTGAAATGAATTTTAATTATTTAATATTTACTTTATTAATTACTATTATTTTTAAATATTTATTTGCAATTAACAATAATATTCCAAATACTTTAAATAATCCAATAAAAAATATTTCTCTTTTTGAAGAAAAAGATGACAAAAAAATTTCCGCTTTAATGTTGGATGTATTTTTGCCTGGTTATTTTTAAAAAAATAAATTCCTATTAAATTTTAAATTTAATTTTGAAAGGGTGGCGTGAATGTATTGATTGGAAAAAGGTTTTAAAAATTAATTAAAGGATATTAAAACTAAAAAATTAAAGGGTAGCCCCTCTTTGCAATGTGTGCCGTTTCCAAATGAAAGGCCTGTAAAATGTTCTAAAGAAATTTGGAATAAAGCTATGGTTGATATTGAAAAGGGAAAACTTAAAAATTGTTAAAGTTGATTTTGTTGTTTAAATTTTTTGGAAAATAAATAATTCAAAAATTATTATTAAATTCGGAGAAAGTCTGTATCTCTATCCTTTAACACGACTCAGTTTTGGTAACTATTTTTTATAATGGATATCTCCTTGATTTTGCCAGTTAACAAAATAAAGGACAAACTTTTGTCGATCAAATAATAATCGAGAATTTTGGATTAACTCGAATCAAAAAAATTATTTTTTTTATTCTCAACAAATTACTAAATTCTGAAACAAAATAATTAAAATAAATTAAAAAAT